AAAGGGATTGTCACTGCCGCACAAGAGCGCCACACAAGAGCCCCGTCAAAGCCGTTGCTCCACCTTATCACCGCAAAAGGAATTATCCACGACCTAGAGTCCTACCTTTCTTCATCAATTCCGTCTCTAGCCGTTGTCAAGAGCAGTAGTCGGCCACCATCACCGTGTGAGAATCAGCGTCGCAACTCGCATAGGCCAACCGCCGCCGCTGCGGTCTTCAATCGGAAAAGATGCATTTATATTTTTGACTCTTGCTCTGATCTGTGCCTTTAGCCCCCATCCGTCTTCCCTTGTGGCTAAGAAAATTTTAATGGCAATAATTGATTGAAAATCTAAGATAAATAAGAAACTGGTCATGATAGAAGAGATAGTTGAGTGATTTGCTAATCTTGCGGAACCCAAAGACGGAACAGAGACAAAAGAAAGAAAAATACTAAAATGCCCATATTAATGGACTAAAAGAAACAGCGAGTAGAGATTGATCCAAGGGTTGTGATTCATTCTTATTTCTTTCATTAGATCTTATTCTCATTTGAACCAAATTCTATATATATATATATATATATATAATTTATAATAAATACTACATTTCAATATTTATGCTAATTGTATTATAAATATTTTTTTAAATTTTTAAAATTTAACATTTTAATATTTATGCTAACTTTATGTTATAATTTTTTTGTGTATGAAAAATAAAAGTACTTTTTTATCTTAAAAGCATTTATTAAGATAACATGATGATGATGATTATGATAATGATGATGATGATGATTTATAACAACAAGAATTAGAATGAGAATAATACAAAAAAACTAAAATAAATTTTTTTTAAAGTTTTTTAAGATTCTAATTTTTTGAAGTTTTTCCAGTTTGTTCTAATTTCTTTCAGTTTATTGCAGTTCCTTCTAGTTTCTTCCAGTTTCTTTCAACACTCACCTTTTTTTCTGTTCTAAAGAAGAGACTCTTAGTACATTTAAAATCCAAGAAGTAATCATGTCATTGAGTTAAAGTGGATCATCATCATGTCTTGGAATATTTCCTTTGGTGCATTTCATTTTCTTTTAGGCCGAAAGAGCAGTCTATATGGATTTCTTCCATGAGTCAAAACCCTTTCCATCAAATCGTTTGGAGACCAGATTCATTCCAGGATGGTCCGATGGATGCGGATATAGAGGATTGCTTGGCGCAATCGTGAAGGAATTAGAAGTCTCAGGATGACCAGATGCCATAGTCAAACCTCGTTGAAATTCACAGGAAAAAACAAGACATAATTCAGTAATCAAGGTGATTGAAGCGGAATACCTAAAATCAAGCCTTCGAATGCTCTGGTACCATGTTGATTAAGCTCGCCTAGATCCAGAATTGGATACACAACTTCAAGAACATCTAATAACTCAGCGAAGAAGATGATGAATTGGTGAGCTCAATTGATGGAGAAGAACGGAAATAACAAAAATACCCCAATCTTTCTTTTTTTTTTTTTATAACTTCCCGTGGACAAACCACAAGCTTGGTGGGCTAAGGTCTAGGCAATCCTTACCGAGTTTTATTAAGATCTATTCGTCACCACAGAGTGAGGGGAGGACCAAACCAAGGCCTAACGCCAGCCCCTCATACGGAAGACATACCCCAATCTTTTGTACCCCACTTTGTACCACGCAGATTTGGTGTAAAACTAATTTTTGTAAACGCACAACCACTTTGTATCCGTGTAAATTTTTGTTAACGCACCAACATTTGTGTTGGTGTAAACCATCAAAATGTTCGTGTATAACTGTGGTGTACAAACGAGGTACAATCTTTGGTGTAAATGTAGCATGGTCCAAAGATAAAATATGTTACTTACAAAATAGGAAAATGTAGGGGTACACTAAAAGTGTACCTCAAATATCTCCCACCCCCTCCATAACCACAAAAAAGCATGTAAAATTTAAAAAAAATAAAAACAAAATATAATGAATGGTGTAGAGACAAGTGGTGTACATTTGGGATACACCTTTGGTGTACCCCTAGCATCTCCCTACCAGAATATTCTAATTGACTCTTAGAAAAGGAATGAGAAAGGTATTTGTACAAAGCAATCTAGACTAAGCCACATCAGCACAAAGACAAAAAATACTCTCATTGTCTCAATTTTGATTACAAACTTCTTTTTTCTCTCACATTTCAATAACTTTTGTTTATTTGTGTGTTTTCAATGATTATTTGATAAAATAAAATATACTTGTCATCTTTATTTTCTAGAATTTTTGATGTTTTTTTTTAATATATAAGATTTATTTTTTATTAATGTAACAATTTATAAATGAATTCATTAAAAAATACGGGGTTCTACATCGTAAATTTCAATTTGTAATCAAAACCGGGACGAAAGGAGTAGAAAACAAAGGGGAGAAAGACCAAAGTAGGACTAAGGCCCCGTTCCGTTCAACTTATTTTTTCTACTTTTTTCTTATTCTTATTAAAATCAGATCAGATCCAATTAAGAATTATTATTATTATTATTATTATTATTATTATTATTATTATTATTATTATTATTATTATTATAATTATTATTGTTCTTCTTCTTCTTCTTCTTCTTAAAAATGAAAAAAAATAAACTTTAGAAACAAGTTAAATAGAAAACTGAGAAAGTAATCTTAATTATTAGACGTCGAAAATATTATTTTTAAAATACATTAAAAATGTCAATTTAATTCTACTTTTAAAATACATTTTTATTGCTACCTAAAATTTGTGTTTTTTAAGTTTTGATCTTTTACTACATCGAGTTGATCAACTTTAATCATGACTTAAATAAAATTAACATTTGATATTCATATACGGAGTATATTTTAGTGTAATTGAAATAACTATTATATATATGGTGTTATATTAATCATAAAAAAAGTTTCGTAATACAAAGCACACGTTGATATTTTATAAGGATGGGATATTTTAATAAAAATACTATCTCTTCTCTATATTGATTATCTAAATTTAATTAACTTTTTAATTTATATATGAATTAATATTTATTCTAATGTACTCCCTTCGTGCTAGAGTATTTGTCCACTTTCATTTTTGCACACCATCCAATACACTTCTTTAATCCATTTTATCTTGTAATTTGTATATTAAAAAAATTATAGAAATTATATATTAATAATCTATATGTTAAGACAAATCAAACAAGATCACACATGACTATATTTAGGGTTACACATTGAGAGAATTTGATGAGTCAAAGTGCTTAGATGAACAGTTCCAAAAGTCAAAAGTGAACGAATATAGCGGGACGGAGGTAGTATATAAGAACTAACTATTAAAATATTAAATCACTATTCTTATTTAATAAAAAAATCATAAAATAAAAAATATTATTACATTATAATATGAATAGTTATTCTAATACCCGAGCCACATAATACACAGGGTGATGCGTACCTTCCTCCTCTCTCACGAGTACTGAGCTCACAGTTCGAGGAGAGATCCCCAATTATAAAAACAAGGTCTCTCCGGGCTCCGGCTTTGAAAGTACTAGAAGCGAGAGGAGGTACGCCTTCAACCCTTCAAAGGACCCTTGACACTCCTCGGTCCAGACGAAGCCGGCCTCTGCTTTTCTTGATGGTATGGAAGAATGGTTTCGCTCTATCAGCTATCTTCGACAAGAAGCGACTGAGAGCAGCGATCCTCCCCGTTAGCCGTTGGACCTCCTTCACATTTCGCGGAGGCTCCATTTCTAAGATTGCCTTCACCTTTTCTGGGTTGGGCTCAATCCCCCTTCGATTGACCATATGTCCTAGGAATTTGCCTCCTTGGACTCCAAACATGCATTTCTTCGGGTTGAGGCGAAGTTTGTACTTCTTCACGATCCCGAACACCCTTTCCAAATCCTTGGCATGGGATACCATCTGCTTTGACTTGACAATCATATCATCCACATACGCTTCCATACACCCTCCTTACACTGGCGCGAACAGCTTATTGACCATTCGTGCATAAGTCGCGCCTGCGTTTTTCAAGCCGAAAGGCATCACCTTATAGCAGTATACCCCATTGGGAGTGATGAAGGAGGTCTTCTCTTCGTCTGCCGTGGCCATCCTGATCTGATGGTATCCGCTGAAAGCATCCATAAAGCTCATTAACTCGCACCCTGCCGTTTCATCCACCAATTGGTCAATGTTGGGGAGGGGAAACGGGTCCATCGGGCAAGCCTTGTTTAGATCGCTGTAGTCGACGCACATCCTCTAGGTGTTTCCTTTGGGTGCGAGGACTACGTTTCACAACCACTCCGGTAGCGGACTCCCCGGATGTGCCCGATGGATTGCAAGGTGGTCACTTGCTTAGTGACAAAGTGTCTCCTCTCTGAGGAAAGGAAACGCTTCTTCTGTTTGACTGGCTTGTGGGTTGGATCTACCGCCAATCTGTGGCAGATGATTCGTGGGTCGACCCCAGGCCTATCCTCTGGACCCCAGGCAAATAACACTTTGACTGAACGAAGGACACCCACCAACTGCTCCTTCAGCTTAAGCGGCAGGGCTTTACCTATCTTTACATTTTGTTCCGACTTGGCTGGGTCTAGGGAAACTTCTTCTACCTCCTCCGCCGGCTCTGCTCTGGGTCGCCCTTCTCTTTCTGTATCGCGGCACAGATCATGCTGACATTTTTATCGACCCGTGCCTGGCTCTTGGTCGCTGTGACATAGCACGATCGGGACAGACTCTGATTTCCTCTTGCCACCCCTACCCCAGTGGGGGTGACGAACTTCATACACAGGTGGAAGGGGGAGATTACGCACTCCAAGTCCTCTAAACCCGGTTGCCCTAGGTTTAAATGGTGTGCAGAATCAAGATGCACTACCATAATTCCATGTCGAGCCAAAGTCGGTGGGTGCCATCTCCTACCCCAGCCTTCACTGTAATGGTTCCCTCCGCTTCAATAGTATCCCCCGTGAACCCTGACAGCGGGGTGTGGACCGGCTTAAGGTCCCCCCGGGATAAGCCCATCTCTCTAAAGGTATTGTTGTACAAAATATTGACGGAGCTGCCGGTATCGACCAACGTGTGGTGGACGACCATGTTATTAATCTCAATCTTTACCACGAGTGCATCCCAATGGGGGCTAAGGACTGGCGGGTAATCTTCATCCGTGAAGATCAAGGGTTCTTTCTTCTTCCGCTTGGGCAGTGGTGGCCTTTGCACCTCGGCCAGGTGAACCATGTTCTTCCACTTCTTCCGTGAGGACACCGAGTCCCCTCCGGTATTTCCACCCACAATGAACCGACATCCCAAATGTTGGCGGTTCTGCCTCTCTTCCTCATCCAGGTCTTCACAATCTCTTCCCAAATGTCGCCTTCCGTCCTCCTGCCCTTCCCCAGCAGTGATCGCTGCGGCTGCGGCCGCTGGCCTCCTCCACGTTCGGTTCCCCGCTGCTGGTCGCTCTGGTCGAGGAGGTGGTCCTTTGGCACTGGTCCATCTCCTTTTTCAGCGTAACGCACTCCGACGTATTGTGGGTGCTGTTACGATGGACTCGCAGTTCTTGGGCGCGTCTTGAACGCTATAGCTTTCCCAACTGCGGAGAGGGGCTGGTATGGACTGCACCGTGTGGATACGCTGCCTGTTCGCCTGATAACCTGTAGGGTTTTGTCCCCTACAAAAATCTTTCCTCTTTCTTCCTTCTCCTACCGGCTGTCCGCTTTTCTTCTCTTTCCGGACGGGCGGCTCGTCGTCTTCCTCTTCGAACGCTAGGTACTTCGCCCTGGCCAACATTTCCTGGTAGGTGGAGAGTGGATTCCGCCGCAGCTCCTTGCGCACATCCCCCTGAGGGAGTGCTGCTTGGAGCATCGCGATCAGGGTTTGGTCGTCTGCCCCTTGGACATCCCTAGCCTCCTTCTCCCACCTATTGATAAATTCCTGGAGTTGCTCCCTTTTCCGGATTATCACATTAAGCAGATGCGAGAACGGGAGCTTCTGCCTCTGGCTGGATGCGAAGTGCTCCCGAAACTTGTGGGCCAGATCGCTCCACTTGTCGATCGATCCCTTGGGCAACTTATGGAACCACTCACAAGCTTGCCCCTCCAATGTTGCTATGAATCATTGGCATTTAATCTCTTCAGGGTATGCATACATAACCACGTTCGCTCCAAAACGAGCGAGATGGTCTTGGGGATCGGTCGTCCCGTTGTCCGCCTTGACCTGTGGGGTCTTAAAAATTGTCCGGGAGAGGACAGGACATTACCCTTGTAACACCCCGAAACACGGCTTAGTATTTTTAATTAATTTATATAATTAATTAATTACTGGGTCGGTCTATACGAATGTTATTTTTCTAATTTGCGTATTTAATGTGGGAGTTGACCTACGATGTAGGACTCGCTGTTTTGAACCGGACCGCGTAAACAGATTGAGAATCTGATATACTGGGCCCAAGATACGACTTCTGAATAAGGCAAATTGGGCTTAAATCTATCATAACTTGTTAGAAAATGTAAACTGGACCTTAAATTGAATTAAATTTCTATTAAATAGAAGGAGGCCAAGAGGGGGGTTACGATTAGGGGTGAGCATGGTACGGTATGGGACGGGATTAAGCTTGTACCGATACCGTACCACATTTATCGGTTCGGTATGGGATTTTACATTGTCTCGATACCGAACCCGAAAATTCGGTTCGGTATGGTTCGGGATAAATTATATCGGTTTCGGTAATTGTTCGGGATTTATTTTATATTAAACACAAAACAGAACTCTAATTAAGAGAAAAAGTCACTCACTCTAAATATTAAAACAAATTCCAACAAAAAAATAAAGCATTGAGTGCTATTCCACCATACAAAAAACTGCCAGTATGTCCACTTAAAAAGATGACTTAAACTCTCAAAGTTGCCAAATGTAATGATTGTAATCAGCTTAAACTTGGAGCAACAAGCAACTTCCAAATAATAAAGCTAAGGAAAAACAGTTGCTTTTCTATCAATTGAAAGTTTGAGCAACAAGCAACTTTCAATTGAAGAAAAACCTTCTGCACTGCACCCAATTCTCCTTGCTCAATTAACTAGCAGTAAGTTAGTGTTTAGCAAAAAAAATTGCACAAAAGGTTGATAAGCAAATCAAGAGTCCAGGCACTCCAGGGTCCCTAAAAAGGCACAAAATCATTTAAAAAATACTGCCAGTTGCTTGGAGCAACAAGCAACTTCCAGCAACTTGGAGCAACTTCCAGCAAATTAATATAAGTGTGTTGACAGTTGACACAAAACCCAGCAAACTAGCAACTTCCAACCCTTTAAGAAAAAAACAACCACAAATGAAAACAGATCCAACTATGAAGTTTAACAAACAAGCAATCAGACAATTAAGAATAACTTTGGACTTTGGAGTGTTACCATTTCAATCATCCAAAATGTATTCTTCCAGATGCTTTGGTGTGCTTGCAAATTCATCTACAAAATATTAAAATATCAGATTAAAATATAAATGATATATAATAATAACTAAATAAATAAATATGTAGTATTAATGTGAACAAATTTACCCTTTTCAATCTCTTCAAGATTCTTTTTGTACTCATCCAATGTAATATCAGGTGGATCTGAATATCTATTGGGTTTGACCTTAACCAATCTTGAGAACATATGAGAGCTTCTGCAGTTCTTGGGTTAAGTGAACTCCTAAATGGATCTATAACTCTTCCCCCAGTACTAAATGCCGATTCAGAAGCTACAGTTGAAATTGGCATCCCTAGCACACTTTTTGCAATTTGACTGAGAGTGGGATATTTAGCTGAGTTCGACTTCCACCACAATAATATATCATAATCCTCACCAACAACTTGTAGAATATCATCAGACAAGTAAATATCAATTTCAGACTTGTTTTCCTTACCTTGTGCTACTAACAAATCCCTTTCAAATTCCTTTTCAAGGAAATCATCATCATCAATATCTAAGGAAATTGGAGCAACACTCGAAGAAGTTGAACCACCCATTACATCTCCACTTGATGCAAGTCGAAGATACTCTTTGTATAAAGAGTCTAGAGTGCTTCCCACTCTTTGAAGGAACATTGCTTGTTTCTCTCCATTATTTTCATAATTTTTTTTCAAGCACAACTCCACATACTTCATTTTCTTCTGAGGATCCAACACAACAGCAATATACAACAAGAAATTGATGTTATCAATATTGCCCCAATATTTGTCATATTTTTCCTTCATCCGTATTGCCATACTTTGGCACTTTTCATCTCCACTAGAGCACATTTTTGAATTTTTCACATGCATTTTCACAATCTCATTAAAGAACAGATTCGCAGTAACATGTTTGGAAGCTGAAATCTTCAAAGTAATGGTATAAAATATTTTAAGAAACTCGACAAAGTACCTTGCATTTATCCAATCATTCTCGCAAGGGGGTCCAGGAACTTTCTTTTTCCTCTTTCTTTTCCTCGTGTTTGCTTCAAACTCTTCTTCATAATCATCAACGAAATAAGCCATATAACCATCCTCTAGATTGAGTCTTCGAAATGCCTTTTCAAACATAATTGCAGTGTCCAACATCAAATACGTGGAATTCCATCTCGTGTCTACATCAAGTGACACTTTTTTCCCACACACTATCTTCTCCTTTTCAACACAAGCTTCAAACTTCAAAAGTCGGGCAAGGGAGGATCTAACATACCTCACAGCATTCCTAATCTTAACAATAGAATCATGTTGGTCTTCTAAACCATCTCTCACAATTAGGTTGACAATATGAGCACAACACCTCAAGTGCATATATTTACCATCGAGTATTGAATCAGATCCCATTAATTCTTTCTTTAAATATTTAATTGCACCATCGTTAGAAGATGCATTATCAACAGTGACTGTAAAAACCTTATTCACTCCCCACTTCTTCAAACAAGCATACACCAACTTACCAATAGTGTCCCCTTTATGATTAGAAATTTGACAAAAGTTCAAAATTTTCTTGGCTAACCTCCAATTATCATCAACCCAATGCACGGTGAGACACATGTAGTTAATATTTTGGACAGAAGTCCAAGTGTCTGTGGTTAGGGAAACACGTTTGCCAACAAGAAGATTTTTTATGACCTTTGATTCTTCTTTATATATATTAAAGCAATCTCTAGCAACTGTCCATCGACTAGGAAGTTTAAAGTTTGGATTTAGCGTTGATGAATACTCCACAAAGCCTTCATCCTCCACAATGCTAAAAGGTCTATTATCTTTAATGCACATCCTAGCTAATGCCATTCTACAACCCTCTTGGTTGTACATATTACCTTTTACATCACTTTTTCTAGAGGATGGTTGAGGCGGAGTGAAACTTAAGGTCTTTTGTTTCATATCCGGTTGCTTGTAACATGGAGACTTCCGGCAATACATCTTCAAGTGTTTACCTAACCCACTGGTGCCATTTTTCTTGGAATCACACTTGATCATCCGTTTGCAATATGGGCATCTAGCACTTGTGATGTTTTTTGCGTACTTAAAGTGATCCCACACAAATGACCTTTTCCTATCATCATATTCTTCATTCTCATCTTTTTCGAGAGCAGTTTTTTGACTTTCCTCAACAATTTGGGTTGGTTGAGTAGTTTGATCCTTCTCACTGTTCATTGAAGTCATCTACAAAAAGGTCAATGACAAGCATAAATGGGAAATAAATTTGTCAAAAAATCCAGTAAATAACAAATTTGCAGGAAAAAAAACAGCAAAAAATTCAAGAAGTCAAATATGAGAATCCTAAACAAATGCATCCATTTGGGTGGAAATTGTGTAAAATCAAAGCAATGTTTTATTTATTTATTCATATATATGCTAACAAGACTGGTGGTAGGGTAAAGAGAGTAACTTGTTTCACATGAACTCATAGGCAATCTTATTTGTTTTCATAAAATGGCTAACTCTCAAACTCTGTTCAACAGATTTGAGGAAATAAATCTCAAACAAAAAGAGAATGAAAAAAATACTCGGCCACTAGCCTTTTTGTTTTTCCTTTTCAAAGAGTTAGTGGAGCAAAGTAATGTTATTAATGGATGGATTTGCTAGGCAGAACAATTGGCATGTGTTTGTTTCAACTTTCGGCGAGATTTAATCATCACCTCATTTTCCACCTTATTTTATATTGAATATATGTACCCTCCAATCTACCCAGTAGCACAACAATCAGAGAGACAGAGAGAGGATCGATGATAAAGAACTTAAGAACATGTAAAGGGTCACATGTCGCAAGGTACCTGGAAATCTCGAAGTTGAAATTGACCCAAATTGCGATGAAGGAAACCAGCTACAAACAATCGAAGTAGTTACAAATTAGAATTGGAGCTGACTATTGCAAAATGGAGTCTCTGCAACCGGAGGAAGAGGAACAATCAAACTTCTCTCTTACGGGAAATGAGAAGTGATAAGTGAGGATTGAGTCGGTATTGACTATTGAGAATCCTAGGAAGCGAAATCAGTCTAATGATTCGGTACGGGATTTTCGGGATGGGATTAAGTTTATACCCGTCCCAACTACCAAACCGAATATTCGGTTCGGTATGGTTCGGGTATTTTCGGGTTTTTTTCGGTTCGGTCAATTTCAGTATGGGTTTTCGGGGTTTTCGGGATATTTTCGGTATTGGTTTGGGAAATGCTCACCCCTAGTTACGATACTTCATCTCTCTCTCGTCCCAGTCCATTTTTCATCGTCTCCCCTGCCCAAGTCCCGGGTCGCTGCCCGTCAGCCAGCAGCAGCAGCGCCGCTGAGCCCGCCAGAACGTCGTCGTCGCCAACTGCCTCTTCCTCCCCTTTCCGACGAATTGCGCGCAAGCCGCGATGAAGGCAGCAGTGGTTATTCTCTCTCTCCGATTTCCAAGTTTCTTCGTAATTGAGGTGATTCGTTGTCCAAATATCTATCGTTAGCTTTAATTCAAAGATTATAATTCGTAGATTAGGATCTTGTTTGTGATAATTTTGCGATTGATTGTGAAATGATGTCAATTGATTGCTGAATTTGTAGATTGGGGCCTTGGGTGTGAAATGGTGGCCGAAATCCGGCGAACCGATGTTGAGTAGCCGGAAGGAGGGGCGGCAGTGGCGGTTGACGGTTTGGTTGGGTCAATATGGGTTCAATTAGGTCAAATTGGGTTTGGATGGTCAATTGGGGTTCAATTGGGGCTGTTTTGGGCCGGTCGGAGGGGCTGCCGGACCAGCCATGTTGGGCCGGTCAGTGAGGCCGCCGGGTAGCCGTGTTGGGCCGGTTGGTGGGGCTGCCCGTGTTGGCTAGTCAGGCTATTGGGCTGGTTGTTTGGGCCAACAATACGGGGCTGCCCAAATGGGCAGCGGGTCGGGGTTGTCGGGTCGGTCCGGCGGATTGTCGGGCTGATCCGGTGGAAATAGATACTGTTTTGGCGGGTGCAGCGAGCCTGAGGATAAGTCCTTAGTCCCGATTTCGCGACACAGGTAAGTTATTTTAATGTTGCTGGGTTAAATCTTGTTGTTTGAGCTTGATGGTAATAGATGAGAAGTGATTCTTCTGATGGGCCGCTGAGTGTGTTGTTCAATTTATGGAAATGTTTAAGTGATTGTTATCACTTGAGAACTCTGTTAAAAATTGGCCACGTAGTATAACTAGGCGGATCTGAACTGAATTGGATAGTTTAATCACCAATAAGACTGTTGTTAGGTTCGGGCCTTGTGGAGCATGCTTGCAAATCCAGTGGTCCAGGGTTCTAAACGTTCGTACGAGAGTCATTGTCCTACTTAAGGGATTCCTTGGTAGGGACTCCAACCCGCCCATTGAGGATTCTCTTTGGGTTTCTCCGAGCATCGGTCTCGAGGGATCCGCTCGAGTGTCCGTAACTCTAGTCTGTTAAATTTAGCCTTAGTATTGTAGGAACATAAATAGCCCTTTGGGAATAAATGAATTGGAACTGTTGGATTCTTCTAATTGAAAATAAATGTTGATTATTCACTGATGTTGCTGCTTATATAAATGCAATACTATATGTGAAATTAATTCTAGCATTAGATATTTCCTCACTCAGCTTCCAGCTGAGCGTGTAGTCTTTTTGTCTTTGATTGCACGCAGTTAGGAATTTGGATCAAGAGGGCCAACCTGGAGGACGTTGACGCGTGATGCTGTGGATGATGTCACCATTTTTATTATGTATATTTAATTATTGCATGCGTTAATTAATTATTTGGTTAAACATTTATTGTAGAACGTTCTTTTGAGACTTCCGTACTTGATAGACTTTACTCTGAACTTTTTGTAATTAACTGGGTGTCTGGATGTTTTTTAATAATTTGTCTAAATTGTTGTGTTGTGAATATCAATTTAGTAGCAATCCGATTCGTTAACTCCTTGATTCGGGTTACGCGAGTTGGGGTGTTACAACCCTTCCGGAAAAGGGGGTTACCTCGCTGAAGACCGCCTGTCCGTACGGGTTTTGGGTGTCCAGCCGCTTCTCTAGGCGTTCGTACATCCTCCACAACTCGATCGCCTCCTTGTCCTCGACCGCCTTTCGTCGTTCCTCCAAGCCGATCTTCGATGTTGCCGAGGACTCTCCTCTCCTCTCCTCTCCTTGAGCTTCTCTCTCAGGTCGCCCTTACGAGCCGACCGAGTATCTTGCAGCCGATCAAACGCCGAGGTTCGAGGCTTCTTCAGTTTGGGGTCTCCCAACCGATCGAAGGCTGACGCCTGCTCAAAGGAGGATGACTCGTCTTCTTCGTCCAACCTGGACAGCTCATCCTCCATCATCGCCTTCCCATTAGGCTTGGTCGCCTTCTTCTTCTAGGACCGCCTTACCTTCTTCTTCTTTTTTTCCCCCGAGCCTGCGGGTCCAGCCTTCCCTCCGGCGGGTTCTCTGGTCGCATCCTCCACCACAACCTCGCGGTTCGGGGTCAAGGCCGCCATCACCTCTTTGAACTGCTCTGCGGTGATCCCGACCCTTTAGATGAGAGCCTCCCCCTCTGTCACGCTAATGGGAGGGTGTTGGCCTCCGGTGGCACTATTCTCACCCTGGAGAGGGATTCCGGTGCCTAAGTTTGCGTTGCTACGGGTTTGCACCATTGTTCTTGGTTGAAGGTTTTTCCTGAGTATGATCCTCGAGCTCTCAATGAAAGCACCAATTTAATGGACAATAAATCCACCAAAATGATCCGATTCAGAAGAATGGATCACGAGAAATAAAAATAAGAACAAGAACTCGAGAATTGTGTATGTATTATTAGCTTGATTCAGCTTGAGGATCCCCCCTTCGGGTCCTTTCTATTTATACATGGATTTTAGATAATTAAGGTAATTCACAATCAAAGAGAGTCTACTCCGCCGATGGCGCGATCCCCTTTTTCCGGCTTCGTCTCCATTCTCCAGCTGAGTCTTCTCCTTTAAATTGGCTCTGCCAGCCGTCTTTTGAATTAGGTTGGTTCGGGCCTAACGTCTTAGGCCGGCCCAGATTCAAGCCCTCACCGCAAGCTTGACCCAGCGCCTACTGGGTCAGATGTTTGGGCCACCCGCTGGATATCGGCCCATCACATAAAATAAAAGATATTGAATATATTATAATATGAATTGTCATTACATTTTCACAAGTTATTATAAAGTCAAATCCAATTATTGATTTGAATTTTAAGTCAAATCATAATTAATCAGATCAGATCCAATCAGATCAGAACATACCAGATGAGATTCAATCAGATCAGATCAGATCAGAACTACAAAAAAATCTGATCATACAAAAAATCTAATTAGATCAGAAAAAATAAGTTGAACGGAACGAAGCCTAAAACATTGATCATATACCAAAATAGGACTTCATGTTTTTATTCCCTAAATAGGACTTAAAATGCATTTACATTACCAAACATGGTCATGTACATTACCAAAAAGTATTGTATTGTGCAAATGTACAGTGTCACATTACCATAGTGTGAAATCCTATTTCGGAAAAAAACATGAAAGTGCTATTTTGATCCTTTTCTCTATATTTTAGTCCTATTTAGGGTGATTTATAAAAATAAAGCTCTCAACGCTATATCTACTTATTCTACTAACAGAAGGAAGAAACAAAACGAAATTGGTGAAGGATCATGCTAGGGTGCCACCACATGGGTGTTACCATGGGCGCACCCATGCTTCACACAGATAAACACAGACGATAATTGTCTGTGCGACACAGACAATTATCGTTTGTGTTTGTCTGTGTGAAGCATGGGTGCACCCATGATAGCACCCATGTGGTGGCACCCTAGCATTATTCATTGCTAAAACACAACTTGCGATGGCTTAATCATTGGTGGAATCAAAATCTTGCATGATAGCTTTCAATATAAATGGGTACCTGGTTGAGTTATTTAGCATGGTAGACTCTTGTGTATTTGGGCAGAAGAGGGATAAGTTTTATTATTCAAGCTATAGAGGGAGTATCAATTCGTGTATTACTATTATGTTGACTATATTGATATTATAGTAAAAAGTTTACTCGAAAATGATTGTAATTTTTTCTTCTAATTAAGAGGGGAGTTTCCACAAAAATATTGTGTGTCGTTGATCTTTTCTCTTTTTTTTTGGTACTTTTTCTTTTCATATTTATTTTTGAGTCTATTTTGTTTGTTCAGTAATTTTTCTCAACACAATTATTTTATTTAAACACAAATGTATTTATTTTAAAGTAATATCTATCTATACATTCTCAACATATTGAAACACAAAGACTTATAATATAAAAGAATTATAGTGGTGTCATTGAACCACAAGATCATTGGCTCAACACAATTATTATTAAAGGTGAGTGGGATAACCAAATTTTGTGTAGAAAGACACTTTGTGATCCACACAATTTCTTCATTAGAAGGAAATTTGAAGCTTTTTTGAGAAAGTTTTATCAAATCGTTTTGAGAAAAATAGCTAAACATTCAATATATCAAATAGGTCTTTCAATATTTTTATACCATAAGGGTTGGAATAAGGAATGAGAATGGGAAACACCCATATCTAGTGGGGAATGGAAAAAGCCCAAATTGGGTAATCCAAAACCTGAAAATGGGAAAAGGGAATGATTCTTTTTTTAAAACAAACAACAACAAATGGAATTAGGGAATCCCATTCCGTTTCCCGATTCCCTTACCCCCTAACCAAACGCCCCCTTATAATGTCAAATATTACCAACGCATTATACAAAAAAACCAACACACAATGTCAAATTGTGGTACTTATAATACGAGTGTTCCTATTTAGGATATCAAAATACACTACGGTTCCCATGACATTGGAAATCAATGTCATGGGATGACCCGAGGTCCCTATGGTACTCCGTCGAAAAATTGATTGTTCCTACCCCCCCTAACCCCCGGTAAACCCCCCGAACTCGACCCGACCCGAACCGACTCCTCCTCCCCCGTCAATTGCACCCAACAAGATGTAGTTGACGTTGGAGTCAAAATTTGACTCCAAAGTCAACTACATCTTGTGGGGTGCAATTGACGGTGGAAGAGGGGTTGGTTCGAGTCNGGGTAGGAACAATCAATTTTTTGAACGGAGCATCGTAAAGACCTCAAACGGAGCTCATGTCATAGGATGACATGAAGGGTTAATGTCATTGGAATCTTGCCAATCAAAATATTGGAACCCTTATTTTGGTATCGATTTCAGGCTTTACTCTTATTTAGGTACATTTCTTAATTGTTTTTAGTAAAATATGGTTCAATTCCTAGAATTAATTTTAAACAATGAAGGAGGTTGCTTGGATTTCCGATCCGTGATGGACGTTGCTTGGATTTTCGATCCGCGATCTTGACGATGAAGGCTGCTTGGATTTCCGATCTGCGATGGAGGCTGCTTTGATTTCCGATCTGCTACCTTGGCGATGAAGGCTACTTGGATTTCTGATCTGCAATAGGCGATATGATGATTGTAATTTAGATCTGATGGGTTGGCAAAGCTCTTATTCCTATTAGCTATAAATCTATTCAAATTTGATCTGGTCTTCAGCGTAGAAGAAAGAAATTTCAGATTTCAACTTATAAATGATATGTTGTTTAAGAATGAATACTGTGTTATTTGGGAATGAGATCTACTAGGTTTTAGAATGAGTATTACGTTATTCGTAAATGAATATTGAACAAATGTGTGAAAATAAATATTACATTATTTCAGAATGAGTAATACGTTATTTCAGAATGAGTACCACGTTATGTAAAAATGAACCGTTATGTTTGTGTGAGAATGAGTACTACTTTACTTCAGAATGAGTACCCCATATGTACCTATTAGTACAAGCAATTGTACCATATACCTCCTCCATTGTGGCAGGCATCAAGTAAACTAGATCAACAACGAAAATAAACCATACAATAAGTAAGTCTTCAAACCGATGTGGCTTCTAGCCGCCCTATGGAATAGAGGTGCTTCGCCCCATTCTGGGAATGGCTTGCGAGAGAGATCATGGGATGTCCCACTCCACGAATATTCACTTTCACATACCTACCATTGCTGCCAATCGCCTTCTATTCCACTGCTAGGGCGATGAGGGAGTCTGTCTAACCCTGCGGCGGTCCTTGGAACTGAGACTTGTAATTCTTGCTTAACACAGGAACCATCCCTTAGTCTTGTAGAGCTTCACAAACACTTCCTCCCTTTGGGGGCGGTTTGCATACACCAACCAAAGTCCAAGGCTAAGAATGAGCCCTACTGATATCATAGCCAGACCAGCATTCACGGTTTGGAGGTTGCTTTCCAGTTGGGGGCAATGATGGGAGGTGATATTTCTGAAGGCATCGCGCACGAAATTGCAGTTCTGCAGGTCCAGCATTGGTGGGGCGTAGTGTTCCAGAGCATAGCTGATGTTGACTGCTGCTGCTAGCTGCCTGTACATGTCAGGTAAAAGTCTCCCTACGCTGCTGCACAAACCGGCCTCTGAAACATTGCAGGTGTACTTGTGCCAAACCAATGATGAATTTTCCATGGAAACGTCTTGCGCCGGACATGGAAGGTCTTGCAGCAGCTGGGAGTCGTAAGGATAACATAGATGAGGCATCAGCGGCCCTGATTGGTTGTAGAAAATAGAATTGTGCAGATCCATTGGATTCGAATTTGCATACGTGTCTACAAATCCATTGACGATATTTACAATGTCGACAATGACTTGCTTGCTCTTTATCAGCGTCTGGTTTGTTGTTCTCTGGTCTACACAAGGAAGGATGTTGCTAAGAGCAGTTTCTGCTCGGGGATTGTCCACCCATTCTCCCATGGCTACACAAGTGTCTGAAATTGCACTGAAACACAATATCCAACAAACAAATTTAGCCGGAGCATGAAAATTGTACCACGAAATTCTACTGCTCGCTAACATAATTTAAAATATATACTCCCTCCGTCCCCAATTTGATTACAATTTTTTTTCTCTCCTCTCGATAACTTTTGTTTATTTACGTGATTTCATTAAGTATTTGATAAAATAAAATATCATGGTCACCTTTTGTATTGTAGAACTTTTGACGTAGTTTTTTAATATGTAATTTTTTTCTTATCGATAAACAATTTGTAAATAAAATGATTTCAAAAAGTGAGATTATTCTCTCGTAAACCCCAATTTGTAATCAAATTGGGGACGGAGGGAGTATATTTTTAAGAACACGGCCTAGGTGAAGCACAAACATTCCTTCGGTACAATATGAAATGAATATGTACTAATATACTTATAGAATTCTTACTTGTTAATGATGACAAAAACTCCACAGAGAACAAGTGTTACAGATACTAGAAGCCATCCACTAATAATGAATCTGCATCGGTAGTATCAACCGTAAGACAAAGTAAGAGCCATATGGAGGAGTATAAGACTAACAAATACAGACAAACTTGTAATATATAACCTAATCATCCCCTCCCCACTCTTCGGAAATACGTATACCCCAACCTAATGAGCCTAGAGACTCCATCGGTTTCACAATTCAACAGAATGAGAGTGTAAAGAAAACTAATCAGCAGTAAGAAATGAGGAAGCATACATATGAATTGTGTGTTTATGACCTCTGATAGATAGGCCTGCAAGAAGGTATAATACAAAGTAGTCATGATAAATACTACATACTGCGTTGTATTGTCCGTAACAGAGAGTTACACAGAGAGAGTGAACAACAACAACAACAGAGAGAATTACAACAACACAATATAATCTCACAGGACAGTAGGGTCTGGGGAGACCTTATGTCCTTACCCCTCCTTGGAAGTAGAGAGGCTGTTTCCAAGAGACCTTCGGTTCAACACAGAGATAGTGAACAACAACAACAACAACAACAACAACAACAATAATAATAATAATAATAATAATATAATAATAATAATAATAATAATGATGATAACAATAACAATAATGATGATGATAATAATAATAGTAGTAATATAGACATACATACATAGACCAAAAAGAGAAATTAAAAGCATCACTGCTGCAACTGTGATCAATGCCATGCGACTGCAAAAATGATTATCCACTCATCAAGAACAGATATTTAAACATAGTTCAAATGATTTAGAATCTCTCCAAGTAGTGATATCATACACAAGATTGAAGACTCGTCTTATTCTGCCCGAGTTGACATTTGTTTTCTCCTCAAGTGTATTTGCTGCATCATTTAAATCCACATTCACCCGGTCAATATCAGCTATGGCATTGGAAGGAAGAAAAATCTGGGCCACTTTAACTGTTTTTGCAAGTATCAAGTATTGTGTCACATTTCTCAGAGTAAGCACAGCATAGTCGGATTGGGTTACAACAAATTTTAGAGTATCCAAGGATTCAACGCGAAATTTATCCTGTCCGATAGAAAGAAGAATGCATCCAATCCTGTATGCAGAGAACAGTTTAGGTACGTACATGGCTTAAGTCTACAAATCCTATTTGCCAATACATTCATTACTTTTATAACCTTGTTTAAATGATATAGCAATAATTGGAAATGAATAAGTTGGAAGATTCTAATAAATAAAGTTGTTAGAGCTGACAGCAATAGGGAACAATATAATTTTTTCAATAAAATTATGATAAGTTCTACGAGTAAGTCATTTATACTAAAGAAGTAGCATGTTGTGTTGGATTATTACGCAGCAATGCACGTGAAGCCAATAAGAAGAGTTAGGCAAATACTATCAGAGCAGTGTGATTCATTGGCCTTGAAATTAATCCTCCATCCAATGCAATGATGCACCATGAGGGCCAATCCAAAAGAAACAAACCATAGTACAGAAAGAATGAAACCAGCAGCACCGGTAAACCCAACAGACTGCAGAAAAAAGAAAAAATAAGAATGCATTAGTACATTTTCACTTGAACATCACACGAGGGTCGAGGAAAGGATGTCATATTAAAATGGAAAACATGTTTTCAAAAACATTCACTATCTCGTATAGCTAGTTGCGTACATGATTGAAGACTGGACAATAGTGAGGGAAAATCATACGAGTTGCAACTAATAAAAAAAATACTCCCTCCGTCCCAAAAAGATCTTCACACTTCACTACTCAAAACTCACATAAACTTTTGTTTGTTTGTGCATTTCATTGATTATTTGATAAAATAAAATATTCTAGTCACCTCTTATTTTGTAGAACTTTTGACGTAATTTTTAAATATCTAAGTTTTATTTTTTATTTCTATACCAATTTTTAAATAAATTGAATTGAAAAAACTTGAAATTTTGCTTTGTTTTCCGCAAAGTGCAAAACATTTTGGTATGGGGGGAGTATAACACAAAGATGTTCTCACTCTCCAACAGGAATAACTCTTTAAAACAAAAAGGTTTGACTCCCATACCCGTGAGCCTCCAAATCCCAGCTTGCCCAAGAGCATTGGAGGTGGTGGATTGAGGAACTAACATTGCTTGAGGTCAAGCGGTTGTGTTACTAATACACCGGAAATATGACGTAGATATTTGACGAACTACATAGTAGATCGCAAAGACAGACATGAAACAATGTTATTCACTTTTTATATTAAGATCGTGATTCTTTCTCCAAGTTAGGAGAAGGTATATTTAAATCTATTACTTCTAGCCGTTTGGACAATCCCAATGGGATCAGGTTTGTGCAATATTTAAATATCTTCCTTTTTCCTTACAAGGCTTTTGCCAACTCTTCTTTTCTATCCCGAACTTGTACAAGCACTGTTCATTGACTTCTTTCTTGTGATTCCATCCCCCATATTTCTTTAAATTTCTATGATCATTTTCAAATCTTCATCATGCCAAGATCGGACATTGCAAACTAGAGGCCCGCATCTTCCGGAGTTACTAACTTTGAGCTCCCAGAGGTCCGTTGATGGCTGGGACCGTTCTGCAAGATATGGCATAGTCCATAAATACTAAGCACCTGGGATTGGGGTTGCCTACAAGGCTACAACTTTCCCCCAAGTTGAACTATGTTCATTAAACCCTTCGAAGTATGCCCTTGAAAGCGAAGAACACCTTTTATTGCATGATTCCATACCCTTTTTGGAAAAAGAAACAAAATAATTGTTACCTTTATCGGGAGCTTAGCATCAGAAATCTATCTTTCCATGGTCATTTACGCTGCTTTATAGCTCGGTACAGAGATCCCCACAGGAGGGTCTATAGAGCAAAAAGGTACCCAAAACGGGAAGCCTCTCCATGGAGGCAATGGAGCATCTACATAAAACAACAACCCAGTAGAATCTCAGAAAAGTACTAGAAAGTAGAGAGGTTGTTTCCAAGGGAGAATTGCTTGCAACACAACTAGAGACCAACATGCTTTCTTCCAGATGCCTAGGTGTGGTGCAAGTGAAGCAACCCCCAAGCAGATCAAAACAAAAACTTGTTTCTTGTCCGAGAATTAGAAGAAAGGGCCTAAACACGGCATCAGTCGTACACTAAAGTAGAACTCACCATTTAAATTTTAACTAAACTCGACCCACAAGGCTTTCATCAGAGCACGTGAGTTGCCTATTTTCATTACTCAATCAGCAAAACCAGATTGGCCGCAATTTGTCAATCGAAAAGCACGGACGAGGCACATGCATGGAAACTTGCACGTGTGGTTCTGGTCAGGGACCACGAAGCAAAATAAAATCAGGCATTTAAAGCAAAATGAGGAGAGTCCTTGCCCGAAACGAGTAGTTCTACTCACTCTGTCTTGGATTGAGACAACCTCTCCCTCCTTAGCTGGCAGGTGGAAGCTTTTATTCCCAACGCTTGCTTGCGGATTCTATTGGTTCAAAGCATGCTAATCCTACCACTGTTTACTTATCAATATTAGAATTGATATCCGAGTTTTATGTAAAACAGTAACATCAGGACCCGCAAACGCAGAGAAACTTCGTATGTTGGGCCAATGAGTTGAATGCCTCATACTCCGAAGTATGGTGAGAAGGCTATTGATCATTCTAGAACGGGGACCATTCGAACAACAGAGCTCCTCCCAGATACATGGCTTGCATACCCGGCTCAACATTCTTAGAAAGCGAGTTATCGACAGCATTCTGTTGCCATTTGTGGTGACCAAAGCTTTTCACATATTCTTCTGGTTTTGCAGACATGACTTTAGAAGACGAGCAATCAAACATTCCCGCTAATCACTCATACTCGTCCTAGCTCGCCCACTAAGTTGGGTTAGGATTAGCCTATTAGGTATCTGAATTGCATCCATCCTCTCCCTTCTTGAACTACGCCTCAGTCAAGGCCTGTTTCTACATGCCAATCCACCCCCTTCTTGAACAGATCTGTCAGGCATACGACATCACCCTAGGGCAATTGACAACAAATGCCCACCGAAGCAAATTTGCCTTTATCATCCACTGCAAGCAAGTGGATGAGCATGCTACTTTGGAGAACTTTTCTTCTTCAAAATTGCCAATTACCCCTATGCTAGAGCCTTCCCAGACTCCGAGCATCTGTTGTTCATCAGGCCAATCAGGGTCCCACGCAAGGTATATGGCTGCGATAAGAAGTGCTTCGTGATGGTTGTTCTCGAGAGGGACAAAATTGGGGTTCAATAATAGCTACCACTGTAAATTCCCCAACACCACTTTCCTTGCCAACCCCAAGGAAGATGAGGTGTTTGGTAGGTTGAAGTGTCATGCCCCTCTAAAGCACAAAGACTTGGACCGCCCAGAACTCGTCGAAAAAGCAGCTTTTTACAATCATACACTGCAAGAGGAGGGGAAGCAGCTGGATAGGAGAAGACGCAACCCTCTAGAGGCCTGGGTAGAGCCTCGCAATGCTCCGAGGTATAGCACGGAGCCAACCCAGCCCTTCAGGATTTCAGGAACCAAGATCATCTGCAAGAGGATGAAAAGGAATGAATTAGTTTTCTCAACATGTCACCTCCTCGCGCTGCAGAAGAAGCACAGAAGGCTACCGATCCCGGAAAAATTTAACTCATCCTCTATTTCCCTTATGTTTCTCCCTATCATTCTTTTGCAAAACAGTTCCCTAAAATTCCACTTTCCATTCCTTAGGTCCCACATAGGGTCGTTAAGAGGAGATCCGATCCACCAGGGGTGACCTACAGAGGAAGTGGCAGAAGCCATCTCCCTCTCCCTAGGCTTCTCTTGTCCAATTTCCTTCTCTTCCTCCCCCCCTCATCACCAAAGCATGTTACACCTCCCCCGTCCGGATAGGATAAAGAGGAGGTACTGGTAGAATTGGCCAGTGACTCATCTAATCAGAGCCAGTGGTAGTGCCTGCCCTGCAAATTTGAAAGCATCCCCTGGTCCTCCCGTGAAAATTTTGTTGTGGGGGCAAAGAAGGGCCCTGGAATAGTCCATGGCGAGGGGAGCAATGAGCCAATGATGACAAGAGAACAGGGCAGCTCCCAATCCCCACTAAGGTTTCAACAGAGCCACTCTCACTAATTCCAAAAGGTATGTTCTGCGTTGGAGGATGAGTTGTCCCACGCCCACAGCTGCCATAAGGCGTCCCAGAAGGCTGTGATGAAGGCTTGCAAGATTCACGGGGAGCTAACCCCTAACCAGATGCGCCTCTGCTAAGACATGGTTGGCTTAGGTGTCCTACTGTCCTTGGATACTACGTGAAAGTAACTGACTATCCTCTTATTTCCAAGTTCTTTCTCATGCATCTTTGACAACCTGTTCTCATCCTTCACTCCAGCATGCAGCTTGGAAGCATGCTTCAAATGCTAATCACAGAAAATATTGGAAAGAACTGCGAATCAACACACGTGATTCTTGACAACAGGGCAAAGAATGAGCAGATCAAAACCCTTGAGCAGAAACTCAAAAAGGTCGAGGTCGCCTTACTCTTTGAGAAAGTCGAGGTTGCAGAGCATGCTATTAGACAAGAAGAGAGGTTCCAGAGCTTCCGGGGGCAGCTAGAGGAGGTCAAACACGCTGCCAAGGCCCCGGAAGCTACTGCCAAACATGTTGCCTAATCTGCGGAAAAAGCGGCCCTGAACACAGAGGGGAAGCTTATTGCAACAGTTGACGATGCACGACGTGAACAGGACCAGGCTTGGGCGGCTCCACATGGACATCATCAAGCCTCTCCCCAACATCAACCTCCTACAAGATGGGTGTTTTCTACTGAACATGTTGCATCCTAAGTGAAGTCCAGAAAAGGGTGGTGTCTCCTCCTGAATGAGAACGCTTGAGAAGCTAAACTTCAGCTTTCAATGAAAGCACCAAATGATGGATTTTAATCCATCGGAATTAGAACTTAGATATTATGAACTAGATTGTTAAGTCAGGGATGAAGCAATATAATATCCTTTGTATATCAAGAGTGTGACCTCTTCTCCATGCTAGGAGAAGGTATATTTTTAGGAATCTAGGGACTAACCACCCACACAAAACTACCTCCCACATCTCTGGAAGACATGTGAATGTGGCCCATGATCATGAGGGAATAAGGGAAATCATGGGAGACTAGTTCTTGTCTCCTAACCCAAACACCTACCTTCAACATGCCACTTGGCAGATACCCAACCTCACTTCCGAGCTGGGTTAGCCCGACACATTTCACAGGGTTGCATCTCTTACCAAATGTGTGGGTTTAGGTGGTCTGGGCCTAAATACAATACTAAATATGAGGTGGACCTGATATACTGGGCCTTACTCATTACAAATATTTGGGTCGGTCCTAATATACCCATCTATCACTATTATTGAGCTATGCTAACTTATTTAAATCTAATTTATATACATAACACAAAGTCTGGTTATCGTTGTACTATTAAAGATATTATATTGGAGAAATTGATATCCCAATTCCCAACCATATTAACTGTGTTCCATTTGATAAGATGATACACACTATTTTTCATAATAAATGAGTAAGCACGACAAGACTTATCCTCTACCATGTGCTTCAATTCGGCAAATTATACGAGCTGGAAAGTAATAAGTTAGAAGTAAATTTTAAGCCCTTAAGAAATTGCATATGTAGGGGCATCACATCTCATCGTGTGCTGTATTCATTGGGTGATGGAAGTTTGGAGTTAAGCATAATAATAAAAACTATAATGCCAAAACCACCTATTATCCCAATGCAGCCTTTACCCCTAAGATACGGAGATGGGATATGTTAGAACTTCACGTATTGCTAAATTTGATGTGCCATTTTGATTTAATCCATTATTCACCGGAAGCTAAAACCATATGAACAATGACTTCATTGACTCCTTATCTTTATTGGCAATGGATGTAAAGCATAGAGATAAAAGACAACGAAACAAGTATTACCCAATCATGATAAGAAGAAGTGGAGTACTCTAGTTTGCTAAGCATGGGGAATGTGTGACTGTGTTGCACAGATTCTTCAAGTAGCCACTTCCTGTTCCCATTTGGGTACTTGGGGAAGTCCAATACCCAAATCCTCAGTAAAATTTGGAAAAGTTAGTATTTTCATGTTCCCAACCCCATCCCCTTATGAGTGTCTTTCCCCATCTTCGTGCAACTTAGATGTCTAATACGTATCTTATCGAAAACACATAAGCAACATAATAGTATAGTCAAGAAAGAACTTACAGCCCAGTAGTGTTTATTCACAATATCCCATCCACCTCGGTATTTATGAAACCTAGAAAGAATGTCCGGTCTCCGTGTCCTATCCTCTGCCAATAAGAGTGTGCAATTAAGTCCCTGATTGGCTGGAGCTGGAGCTTGAGCCAATGCGGCATTCAGTTCTCTAACAGTCCAAGAGCCAAAGTTTTCTTTGCCTGCAAAACTTAACAGGTTATCTATCATATATCATAAAAATAATATAACATATGAAACAATTTTCTATTGTTCAGTAAACCCTTTGAGCATCGAGGACTGATTGGTCCATGTTCTGTTATATATTCACTTATGACTTAGTAAATATATATAAATGGAAGAAATTTTTTGTGTTTTTTGTGAGGGAATTTTGAAATTGAGGGTATGGAAAAGAGGAGATAGGCCAAGTTGAAAATAATAGATATGGTCATATGACACACTTCTTCTGAGGGCTTGTATCTATTCTGTACCTCAATAATCATTGTTTAGATATAAATAAACTCCTAATGGCTAATACACACGCTAAGTTGCCAAACAAAGAGACAAATTTGGAAACAGTGTTGAAAATCACTTGCTATTTTCAAAATACACAAAGTATTAAGAGGGATCTTTGCATTCAAACATGATTTTGATTCAAACCATTACAATGGTTCTAAATCACAAAGAGTTGAAAGAAAAATCTCTCCAAATTTCGTGACTTTACATGCGAAAATTCTGAATGGACTCAATCACAGAATCAAGGGGCATAAGTACATGTTTTATTCTCTACATCGAGTCGTGACTTCCCTTTGATCATGGGAGGTCATATTGTACTTGATGTCTAGCCATAGTGAATTGTTTTTTAAAAAAAACTTAAGCCCATGCTAAGAAAGAAGGAGCTACGCGTGTGAGTGCAATGCATTATCTCCCCAATGATTGTAATTGCTGCTATGGTCGATCTTCACCTCAATTCTACTTCATATCTTTATTATTTCTCCATATATTGTTCGACCATGACATCTATGTGAAGGACCAATACAAAAGCTTAAATTGATAGGTAGGGCTTCACTCTTTTATATATGCAAGTGGTATTCTTCTTTATTTTCCGATGTGAGAACTCCAACAAGTTTGAAGGCTTTGGGGAATTAGTTTGTGGAATCGACTTCCGTAACCAAACAAGAGGTTTGTGTATGAAATTCAATCCCATACTTGATTCTCATACAACGAGCATGAATAGAATTCTATAGTCGCGGCAGTCGGCCGAATGAAATATTAAAAAAAGTATTACTCAGAGGGTGTTTGGCACTGCAGTGCTTTAAATGGTAATCATTTTAGTCTGTTTGGCATACAAACTTTTGCTTTTCTTCACTACCATTTTGTTTAAAGAACATTTTGGAGAAGCAGATATATGCTGCTTCTACTTTCAGCTTTTTTGAAAATCATTTTACTTACAAGTTAATCACTCCCAAATAAACCTAGCAAAAAAGAACCCAAAAACGATTATCTGAACCGAATGACCTGAAACCGAAACCGAAATGATCCGAGAAATAAAGATCTGATTAATAACCGAATAACCAAAATGATCTGAACCAAAACCCAACTAAATACATCCGTATCCGATTTCAAACCAAAATCGATTAGATCTGATTGATTAGATCCAAAAACAATTAGATCCAAAACCGGTTGAATCTGAAACCGATAAGACCCAAAACCGATAAAATCCAAAATCGATAAGATCTGAAACCGATTATATCTGAAATTGATTTTGCCTGACAATAAACATATTGTGTTTATGTGTATTAGTGAATAATTACATTCGATTTTAAATTTTTGTTTTTATTTTACCATATAAACTAGTTATATACTTATATTACTTACTTCTTATGTCCAAAATAAATTACCATATCTAAACAAAATGTAAAATTTCATATGTTTTAATGTTTTTATAAATTGGTATAAAAATAATCATTATAACTTACATAAAAATATTAGTTAAAATTAATACAAACTAAAGCACAGTTGAAAATATTTTTTCACCCCCTCTCCTGCAATATTGTATGGTTGGCCAAACATGTGCTTTGAATTTCATTTAATTTCACTCAAATTTTACCTAATTGCATTCAATTTCACTCAATTTTAACATATTTTAACCAAATTTTATGTGATTTGGTAATCCAATTATATTAATTTTATATCAAAACTAAATACATTTTTATTTAATAATTTGTAATCCAAATTTAAAAATTATGACTAAAAAGATAAAAATAAAAGATATGTAGGACGAAGGAAGTATAAAATAATATGAAGTGATGAATTGATGATAGATTCATAAATGTGATATGAATAAAAATGAACGGATAATTAAATTTTAATTCGAAAATAACATATATGCAAAGATATCCGAAATCAAAATAAACCCGAACTGAAATATATCTGAATTGAAATATATCCAAACCGGAATGTATCCGAAACTGAAATGTAATCCGAATCGATTGATATCTCAACCAAATTTGAGTCAAACCGGAACCGATTATAACATAAATCCGAAAGATATATGAACTAAATTATTATTCTAAACCAAAATCGACCCTATTCATCCGATTGCCACCTCAGACCACTTAAGTATTTTACTCTAACTGGCTTAAGAAAGTTCTACACTGCCAATTTGCATAGAATTGGAAATTTCAACCTCAGAAAAGCAGAATTGCAGTGAAAAATCAAGAAAAATTCTTAAAGAAATAAAAGATCAAACCTTTAATTGCTAAAAATAGCAGTGCAAAAGTGCCATGGAAAATTGCTTCATAACTCATCACAGTGTATCTAACTTCATGATATTTCAAGAACCACTAGGTTATGCCACTTTAAAACAGGAAAACTAAAATTAATTTTCCATTTCAATAAGTAGTCTCTATCACATCAGAGTAAACAGCCAAACAAGATCAAGCACCCAGTTGGGCAAATCAAGAAACCATTCAAACAAGACGACATATGTTCAAGATGTCATTTCTTAACAGTAAAGAATTACCAAGAATGGCTTCTAAAGGGTCTCTGGATCGCACAGAATCAGCTGTCTTCGAACTGATGGAAATGATGAGAGCAACGAAGACATAAAAGAGCGAATAACCTTTCATGGTCACCACTTCCAGGACTCTACTGTATCTGCTAGTCTCACTCCAAGGTATTTACACATCCATTCACGTTCTTCAGTAAGAAAGAAGGAATTCAAAAGGCCTCGCGATGAATTGGTTTTTTTCTTAGACCCAATACTTTTGAAACGTTGTCTTCTTTTGAGACGATGATTCACATTTCACAGAGAAGGAGATGATATATACACATACTCGGCGGTGGAGGGAGAAATGATTGATCGAGATTTGGGATGGGCGCAAAAGCGGGTGTGAACAAATGAAAAAAACGGAGAGAACGCGAAATAGCAACTCAAGAACTTATCCCATAAAATGGTTTGAGTGTGTATGGGTAGACCTAGCAAAATATGACCTGACCCATTTTTTACCCGAAACTCGACCTGAAATTAGCAGGTTTTGAACATGAATTTTGTGACCCAAACCTGAAATAACTCAAACATGAGGACCCGTTAAAATTTCGAGTCGAGTCGGGTCGGGTCGGGTCTGACCCAACGAGTTAAACACTCTAAACTAAGGTGGGTGTATTCAATCCGGATTCTGAAGTATTTTTTAGATTTCAAAAGTCTATGGGTATTCAATTCAGATTTTAAAAAGTCATTTAAAATCTAGATGTATTCAATTCAGATTTTAATATATCTTTCTAAATCTAATGGTATTCAAAAATCAATAGATTTTGATAGATTTTTGTAAATGATGGATTTTGATGAATTTTGCGATTTGGGTATAAGTCCCAAATCTGACAAAAAATTGAAAGATTTTGCACCTCCACGGCTCTTGACTAATCTTCTTCTGGGCCACAATTTTTTTACACCAGAAATTGTTGGTCATCGCCAAACATTTCCTTCTTGTTTTCTTATCTCTTCCGTGGTAGACGAGGAGGCGCTGGGGAGCTGTTGTCCATTTGGTGTTAATGCGGGAGGGATTCCCTCATCCGAGCTAGACACCATCTTTTTGGTGGGTGGCAAAGATGGTGGCGCAGGGGCGGCGGCAGCAAGGGATCGACGGCAGAGGTGGCGGCAAGGGATCGACGACAAGGGAACGATGGTGGCGGCGATGAAAGAAAGGAGATAGAAAGAGGAGACATCCGTTGCTACTTGCTAGGGTTGGGGAGGATGAAGGAAAAAAAGAAAAAAGAAAAGAAAAAAAATGAAAAAAAGGAAAAAATCTATCAAAATCCTTTAAAATCCTGTTGATATAATACATTAAAATCTATCTAACTCTGCGTAGACTTAAAATTATCCATTGAATTTACAGAATCCATATATTCTAAATAATATATCAAAATCTTTTGAAATTTAGATTGAATATACCCCCCTAAGGAACTAAGATTTTATATTTTTGTTTATTACTCATATATCAAACTAGTAGGTAACCCCGTGCTTCGCACGGGCTGGGGATGTGTGCGCATTATTCGTTGTTTTTGTAATTGTTTGGGTAGTGTTTCCATAATTTTGGTTTGTTTTGAAAATGTTATTGTTTTTTTGTTCTTGAGAAATGCAATTTTGTGTTAGAATTGGCGTGTAGATTATCAATTTTTCAAGGATTAACCTTTTTTTATATTTGTTGTTGATGTGAGGGAATGAAGTGGATTCATTATACAATAAGTTTTAATAAAATGGTACATTGATGAAATATAATTCCGTTACAAACGAAACGAATAAGCCTTGTTTGAATAATTTTTAAAAAGTAATGAGTAGGGAAGTAATGGAGAATTTGGGGGTTAGTAAGTGTTCATAGTTGTTATTTTAATTTTTATTAGGTAACGGTTATTTTTAAATTTATTTCTATAACATGTATTTGTGATGTAGAGACTAACATAGGAAATGTTATTTTATTGTATTTGTGTAGTTTGTAATGTTAAGTAATTTTGATTATTGGTGTATTAATAGGATACTACCTCCGTCCCATTGTCTTTGTCCACTTTGGACTTTTGGAACTGTTCATCTAAGCACTTTGACTCATCAAATTCTCTCAATGTGTAAGCCTAAAAATAGTCATGTGTGATCTTGTTTGATTCGTCTTAACATATAGATTATTAATATATAATTTTTATAATTTTTTAATATACAAATTACAAGATAAAATGGATTAAAGAAGTACATTGGATGGTGTGCCAAAAGGTAAGTGGATAAAAACAGTGGGACGGAGGGAGTATTTAGTATTATTATAATAGATTAAACTTAACGTCGTAGAAGATTACTAATTTGTAAATAGTAGAGAATAGGTTTGTGGATGTTGATAGAACTATTTCCAAGTTGTTTTATAATTTGGTTTTTTTCCCATTTAAAAATGAAATGTTGCATAGTTGATGGTTTTGCTTAAATCGATGATGTTGTGAATTGGTTTTTTTGGGACGTCTACGGTATCATGGTTGTGTGTAATTAGCGGAGATTATTACGTAGGTTAACATTAGTAGTTTTGGTTTTTTTTATTGTGAGTCGAATTATATAGTGTTATAGAAATAATAGTGTTATTCATAAATGTAGTTTTAAAAGAATTTTGTATACTTCTATTTCATGACTGCCGGTAGTTAATTAAATTTTGTATATGTTCTTGGTGAGTGATTATGTAATGTTCCATTGGGTAGACATGAGTGGGTGAATAGAAAGGTATAGGTTGGGGTTTTTTTGTTTGGTTTTAAAATAAGATTAGTAAAAAGAAATGTTTGTTTTTTTGTTGTATTCACTAAAAATGGGATATATATATAGATTAAGAAGCAATTATTGTATGATTGGCTGTGTTATGTTTTGTGAGTTGAGTAATTTATATTTAATTTGGAGGTAAAGGAAATTAATAATATGATTTGAGAGAAAATATAATATATTGAATATAGTTTTCAAACAAACATAACTGCAAATCAAGAAAAACATTATAAAACCTATAATTAGTTGAATTCATATTTGTCGTTTAATAATAATTCGCTGGTGTCATGCATGTTGTATGGTTGTCAGTGATGATAAATTCTTGAATTTGGTTTGCATCACCGGGCGAATATGCAGATAGTTTTGTATAGCATGTTTGTGTAGCCTGTAATTGCAAATATAGAATAGAATTGGTTGAGAAATATGACGGTAATTTGAGTGTATAGTATTGAAGAAGAGATGAGGAGTAATACCTGATATGGTGTTGGAGTATGGTGTTTTGCAGTATAAAGTCATGCTGCAATTTGCTTCCCTTTGATTGGGTTGAAGTCGATCAGTCCCCTATGAAGCATTATTACATATTAGAGTATAGCGTGTAGGTAAGAAATAATGTACAACCAAATAGATACAGATAGTTTTGGATATATAATTTTTGGAGATGTAGCGTTCAGTTCCATACGTAATGGTTTTTTTTAAAAATCTTCAAGTTTGTATTTAAACCATGTACATGTACTAAAATAGGTTTATTTTTGTGAAATAACAGTTTTTAGCATTTGGCGCATTTGTTTTTTGTGTAACGATGGAGGGGTAATAAAGGTTTTTTTATTTAGTTTGAGGTGGGGTGTACCTGATGGATGGGGTATATTATTAAACACTTCCTTGTAGACTATATTGCGCGTGTGCCTTGCATATTCTTCCTCTTTTTCTTTTAGGATGAATTTGAGTGCATTTGGTTGCGTGACTAGCAACATAAAGCTGGCCGTGTGTGAAGACAGAGTTTGGTAGATAAATTCCTACATGTGTTAACGATTGCCCTTAGCTCTTATTAATTGTCACAGCATAGCACAGTCGCAGGGGGTATTGTCTTCGTTTTAAGACAAAAGGGTATTTTGTGTCTTTTGAAGATATCACTATTCGTGGGATGTCCACCACTGTTACAACATGATTCCCTATGATTATCCTTGCCCGAATAATATACTGTCCCAATTTTGTTACTATTAGTCTTGTCCCATTGCAAAGGACTAAGGTTGGATTGATATTTTTAAGTAATAGTACTGGTGTGCCACATTTCAAAGTAAGTAAATGGTTTGGCATCCCAGGGAAGGTTAGTGTGTTGAGGAATTCAGTTGGGTATCCAATTTCATGTGCATCACTGTCTTGTGAAGCCTGGCAGATTTCATCACAACTGGTATATGCCTTTTCCTCTCCAGGTAGTAATTTGTACATGTCTTGGTTAATATCTTCTGCAGTGGTGTTCAATGGGGTCAATATTGCTCGTTCTTTGAGGTAATTCTCATCATTCCATTTTTCAAGGAAGTTGGGGTATGTGGTTGCTATTAAAGTTGACATGTCAGTGGAGTGACCTGGGATGTAGTGTTGTTGAGGTATTTCTATCCAGGTGGCCTCGTCCTCATCCGGCAGGGCTTTTGTCGGCAAGGTTCCATTACCCATCTTTAACAACCAATTGTTGAATTCTTTTGCATTTTGATTTTCAACTGAATTTCCTACATCCTCTTGGATTCACATGCTCTTTGTGAGTGTGTAAACTGTGCAACTTTCCCAGATGTACGACCGATTTAATGATGCTTGAACAATATCTGGGCGTTTACCTTTTGGTATAACTGGAAGTACTTGTTGGAACACGGGTTTACGCCTCCGTCGTACTAAACTGTGTTCGTTTTTATGACAGGTTTTGATAATGCCAAACTGTCGCGACATATCGAAGCTAAAGTGAGCAAAACTAAGGCGAAGGAACATGGCATGATGACTTGAGAACCAAGAACCCAGAATCAAGAACGAAGAACTAGAATTGTATTGAGTCGGTCTTAATGTGATCAAGACCGGCACAAAATTCCAAATCTTGGCTCTCTAGGCTCAATTCATAAAAATCTCTTTTACATTTTCAAAAACATTTTTCTTAAGTTTTAAACTTGGCTCAAAACACTTGGAGTTCGCCCAAGCCAAAAACCAAGCCATCCGGCGTTCGGCTTTCGGTTTTCGGCATTGGTTTTTGGCGTCCGAACCAACCAAGTGTTTTTCAACTTTTTATGACTGATTTTTACTTCTGGGCATATTTAAATAGTTCTCCAACAAAAACGCCTCGAAAACCACCTCCCGTTTTTGGTCGTTGAGTGAAAACCATGCGAAACGGCGCGAACTTGGCTAGCCGTGGTTTTCAACTAAATGATGTGGTTTTTAAGGTGTTTTACTTGATTTCTTAGCAAAATGCAATAAACAAATGTTTTCTAAACTTGGCTTTTATTTTGGAGAACTTGCGTTTTTGACATCGGCTAACGGCGTGACTAAACCAACCATGGGTCTGGCTAAACCAGCCCAACAGCGATGTTGAGGTAATCAACAGCGCTGTCTGGCCTGGGTAGCTAAAAACATGGTTTGGCGTTAAGTCTTCCAACAACGATGTTGGACACTAGACATCGCTGTTGAGCCAAGGTTGGATTTCCAGAAACTTCTGGAACAGCGATGTAGGCTTCCCTACAGTGCTGTCCAACCTAAGCCAAAAATATAGTGCATTGGCAGAAAGTTTTTGGACAGCGATGTTGACCCAGCAACAGCGCTGTCTGGCCAAAATTCCATCTCCAAAGGCAGACCTAAACAGCGATGTTCTAGTATAGAACATCGATGTAGAGACCTGACCGTTGGAAGGAATTTAAGGCTAAAACTTTCCTTGTTTGGAAGTCAACAGCCAAAACAGTGATGTAGGGATTTTAGACATCGCTGTTGGCATGACCGTTGCTTCCCATTTTTCAAACCGCAAGCCTAGAACAGCGATGTCCAGGCCTAGGACAGCGCTGTCGGGGTGATTTTCAACAGATCCAAATTTCATCAAATCCCACAAATTATGCCAATCACCCCTTAAATACTTTGGTCCGTTGGAGCCTATTTTTCTACTATAAAATGGGGTGTTTGGGTTTGTTTTACATATCACATTACTTCACAACTTCTACTCTTTCATTGCAAATCATTCTTCAATTTTTCATAGCTTTTGAGAGCCATTTTTGTGAAGCTTGTGTTGTATTCTTGAGCGTTCTTAGTTTACTCAATATCCACTCTAAAAAGAGAGTATTGTTCTTGAGTGTTTTTAGTGTTCTTAGACACTTGACAAGAGAAGGTATTTCTCTTGTTGTTCGAAGGAAGGGTTGTTTCCTTCGAAGGTTCGTTGAGGTTTGTGTGACTCGAATTCTCAAGTTGTACGGGTTTGTTAAGCACCGTTAAGCTTAACGAGATAGTAGTGTAGCTCGAGAGAGTCTCTCGGGAGGCTGGATTAGCCACAAGTTGTGGTGAACCAGGGTAAAATCAGTGTGCCTCTTTCTTTTCTCTTTACTTCTCGCTTATTCATTTTTATTCCTGCGATTTCTTGATCAAACGCTATTCACCCCCCCTCTAGCGTTGGTCTATTATTCTAACAGTACTTGGCGGAAGTCACCACCCATAAGTATTGTTTTTCCCCCAAAAGGGAGGTTTAATTTGCTGCAGACTCATTCTTAGATGAGACAATGTCTTTGAGTGTGCGGTCAACTGCCTCAAATGCAAATTTGTTGGCCATTGGAGCTTCATCCCATATTATCAATGAACACTCTGTCAAAAGGCCTTCCAGTTGTGTCTGCTGTCGCACGGTTAATGTTGTGCCTTCAAATAACTCAATTGGAATGTCAAATTTACTATGTGCCGTCCGACCTCCTGGTAATAGGAGTGATGTGTTAGTAATAGCTGTTGTTGGTGTGTAAATGTGTTATAGTGTATAAGTATGTATGATACCTGAGGATGCGACAGTTAGGACAATCTTTCTTTCGCTTCTCAGCTTTGCAGCTATAGTGGAGTATAAGAAGGTTTTTCCTGTGTCACCATGTCCGTAGACGAAGAATACTCCTCCATTACCGGTCTCCACCGCTTGTACAACAGCATGGTAGACTTTTAGTTGTTCGTTGTTTAAAGAGGATTTGCTTTTTTCATGCATGAGTGTGAGACTTTTAGTATCATAGCTTAGCTCCTCTCGGATTTGTCTGTTGTCCAAGTGGTGGACCTGTGTAATTTTAGGTTGGGGGAGTGATGGATAATCTGTCAATGATTTTCCTGATCGGCTTAGTATTTTGTCCAACTCTAGTAGGGCATATGTTTGAATTTGTTCCGGTGACAATTCTAGCTCTGGGTGCCTGTATATTTTCCTTCTATTTCGTAGAATGTCTTCCTCAAGAGCATGTCTTGTTGTCTCCCATAATTGGCGAGGATCTGATACTTCACAAAAAAAGCAATATTGTCACAAATAGTTCTCTCAACTGTCTAGGTGTTGCCCACTGGTCAGCTTCCCGTATTGCATCTATCCACTCTTTGTCGTCATTGAGTAGGCCAAGTGTGTAACATGCAGCCTTGAAGGTAGGGTGGAGAATTCCATTTACTGTACGGATGTCTTCAAAACATGTGGGGCCTCTGCTAGAGTTGAGAAGCAGTCGGAGGTAGTAGCGTTCGCCTGCAATGGGGTGGACATACGATATTCTCCCCACGCAGTTTCCTCTCTTTTGCTTTGTCCATTGTTTTGTAATTATCCATTTCTGTTCAGCTTCGTTCCAAATCCTTACATTTGAATTCCACACATACTTACTTGGGAATTCTGCGTACGTTAGAGACCTTGCCTCTTCAGATGTTTTGTTAATGGTCATCCACTGTGTAAGCATTGTTTGGTGAGCTGCTTCTTGATTTACTGCCTCAACAATGTTTTGGTTATCTTTGAGTGTTAAAAGTTGTTCTCTGGGCAAATGGACATATAGGCATAGGACGGGAACACTTCTGTGATGAATGTCATACTGGAAGATCCTCCATATTGACTCACATGCTGAGAGGTATTGACAGTCGAGGTATTGTTCAATTTCATCATTTTCTGAAGGAGGTTTTTTTCTTCGTTTCTTCTCTTTGATGATCATTGTTGCTCTATCTGGGCCTTTGTTTAAATACTTGAATAAGTATTTGATGGCTTTAAATTTGTTACACCACTCTACGTTGATATGTGCCTCAAAAAGGAGTAGGAGATGGATGTTATAAGGGACGACAGATTTGTTGTCTAATTCAACTGAGCCCTTCTTCACTATTCTGTAATATAATGTTTTTCAGAATGTCACAAAGAGATTATAATTTACAAACAACAACAACAACAACCCAGTTAAATCCCACAAGAGTAGGGTCTGGGGAGGGTGTGTGTACGCAGACCTTACCCCTACTCGAAAGTAGAGAGGCTGTTTCCAAAGAGACCCCCGGCTCAACGTCGAAAGTTGCATTACTTGACTAACTGCTACTTCATTAATTAAAGAAGCGCAGACAGTTTAGAGATCCATTTTGATTTATTCCATCACACCCCAAAGCCAAAAAATGGTGAAATTTTGGCCCCATCGGAGATGATGGAAAAAAAAGAGATTATAATTTAAAAATGTATAATACATCGGGATATGGGGTAAGAGGGAGGTGAGATTGGGTTTGGTGGCAAACCTTTTATTTTCTCTTCTTCTGTATACTGCATACCCTGTTTCGTCAATGGTTGTTTGTTCATAGAACTGCTTTGGGTATTTTTTTGTGCAAATGTTTCCCTGCATACATGGAGCATCTTTTCTAATGTGGCCGCAGGGGCCATGTACCATGAATTTTGAAACCAATTCATATGCTTTTGTATTTTCTTGTTGGGGTATCTCTGCAGAAATAATGCTGTCTATGAAGGTCGGGTCATTGTGGGTTTCTGATTTAGTTAACCACAATAGTATATGAGCATGTGGGAGTCCACGCTTTTGGAACTCTATTGTGGCAACATCTGTGATGATTGTAATATTTTAGGACAGGCAAGTAACATGTATTGTATAGAAGTGGTTTTGTAGCATGTAGGTGTTTAGTTAAGAACATAGAGTAGAGTGATTGGACTTACATGCTTGCGTTGGGCCAAAGTGGTTGTCCTTTGTGAGTGTTTTCATGAGTTGCTTCAGTTTCATGTTGAAAACGCGGCAAACTATATCCGCACGATCCTCTGCCCTCTGTCCAGGGATATATTCTAGCATTTTCCTTACTTCTGGCCAATTTGAGTTTGCAGTAAAAGTGATAAACAGATCTGGGTTTCCATATTTTCGGCATATTGCCATGGCATCCTGATAGTTTTGGAACATGTAGCGTGGCCCTCCGGTAAATGATGATGGTAGTACTGTAGGTTTACCTACTGCAGAGGCAATTGTGTCCCCTTTGTTGACAGCATCACATACATTTCTGAATATATCTGTTCAAAAAGTATCTTGCTTGGAACGAAAGTAGTTTAGACGCTCCTCCTCAATTGCAGTATATGCGTCTACGACATATTGTTGGAATAGTCTGCCTCCATATAAATGTGTTACACCTTCAGTGAGCCATTGCTGAATGCGATAAGCATAGAATTCCCGCATGGTCATGAATTTCCTGGTCACATTCAATCTGGAATCGGGTTTGTATGGTATTTTTCATGATATCCATCTTCCCCATATGGGAAAAGGAGGGGGTACTGCAATGACATGAAACTTGGGTGTCTCTCACAAATGTTCTGTAGTCCTTTTTCTTTGTGTTGCACTATAATATCTCTACCATCGGTCCCCTGGCCAAAATCTCCAACGATAAGTGCAGCTATTTCTGATGCTGTTGGGGCGTTGTATTGCTTACGTTGTTGTGGCCGGTCAGATACAAGGTGTAACTGGTACTCTTGTTCCTTGTCTATTTTTATTCTGTCTCTTGCCATGCAAAACACTTGTGCCAAGCAATTTTCCTTGTCTAACATATGCATAATGCCTGCCACAATGTCTGGATCTAGTTTAGATTGTGGTTTGTCTTTTGTCAATGAATTGATTCTGCTGTGTACTTCTGAAGAGTGGTCGTCATACATGTACAATTGGAGGAATTTATGGGGTTTCTTACTTTGAGGCATTAATGATCCTATTTGATGGTAATTTTGTCCACTAATACGAAACACATATGGTCCTTTGCTTTTGTTGATTTCGTAATCAATATCGGCACCAATTGATGTGAATGCAAAGATTGAGTTATAAGCACGGATATTGTCTCTGAATAACTTGGCTAGTTTACCACCACTATAGCTTAAGAGGTTTCCCAGATATTTTGGTGCAGGCTTTAATGCTTCGAGTTTGATTCGTCCCTCCATGCAGCATAATGAAAAGGTGGGTGGCCTATTTTGATATCTGGAGTTATTCCATTCTTCTTTCCACATTATGGCATGACAATGCTGGCATAGCTCTGTTGGATTTGACAAAGCCGTATATGTTAATTCCCCTCCTGTATCTGTATCATGTAACATGTATATTTGTTATACTTGTGTCATAACTGGGTTTTTTTTAAATTTCAATAAAAACATGCTTACTTTGCAGGTTTGAGTTTTTTACTCCGTCAGGTTCTTTACGTCGATGGCCTGTTCATTTGAGTACGTAAGGATATAAATTTAAATACTCTATTATTAGGATGAAAGAGTGTATACAAAAATGGTAGCACCTTGTTTTCTTTCGTGGGAAGTGCTTGTATGGCATGTTTTGTCCATTTCAGCTGTGGCCTGCCTTTTACGCTGAATAATAAGTTTGCGCTGCTTACGTGCTTCCACTGGTGTTTGTATGAATTGGCAGTGTAGGTCGTCCTCCATGTTTGGAAATCACGCCTGTATGTTTTGCATATTTGTTGTGTGATGTTTTTAGTATGTATGGAATGTATTGGGTTATATTTTTTCAATGCTTACAGGAAATGTTTGCTATTCATATTCCATTTCAGTTACAAATAAATAAAGTTATAAGGGGTTGAATAGTAGCAATTAATGTGTGTTTAATTATTAACTTTAATTTAGTATAGTCATATAATAAGAATATTGTGGCTTTTAAAATTCTTTCTGGTGTGTTCTACTGTTATTATTTTTTAAAGTAGGGATGATGACTGGTTGTATCCTTCATCTCAGATATGTTATGAGACTGGAGCAAAGACGGCGAACAGCATAGGCGTACAATATCCAAATTGTTAAAAAGGAACTTAAAGAGGCAATTTAAAATATACATAGAGAGGCTAATTTTCTTAGTGAATGTTTATTTTTTTTGTCATTGATGTGTTGATGAGGTTTAAGTTGGAGCTGAATAATAAATATTTCAATGATCTGAGATTATAATTAGTTTCTCGGCTTTCTCCCAAAAAGGAAAAAGGACTGACGTATATTATACTCTGCATTTTTCCTTTTCCAAATTTTATGCGCTATGCACTGACCTTATTTGGGCAGGAGCGTAATGGATTTCACCACCTACAGAGCACCCGTTGTGTTATCGCGTCATCTGAATTCTCACTTAGTCGAGAAGGTTTATAGAAAACATGGTGTGAATCCTTTGAATTAACCAACATTGATCTGCAATGTTCAAGTTAGGGATAAGATTAAAGAGAAGTTTGGAGGAATTAATATTAAGATAAAATATTATGAAACTCATAATAGAGGGTTAAAGAATGTTTTATAATACTACATCAATCAGAATTGTCATTCACCGAGTACTGATATATTCGTAAAGTATATATATACCTTCCTTAATATATATTGTATTTGAAGCATAATATAAGACTTTGTTCCTTGAAAATTTTTGTTCCTTTATTTGTTTCCAAACTACGACCTAAAGTTATTGCGGTGGACGGAAATAGAGTAATCTGGCATGACGTTTAAGGCGTGGAAGCGTACATACATGAAGTGAAGAGAAAGGAATTGAGTGTCTGCTGTCCAGGTCTACAGACAGAAATGGTCATAATACCCCTTGTGCCATTGTAATGCTCCACCTTATACAATATGTCACCTGCCATGTTTCATCTCACTGGGTTGAGTAGTTTGTTTGTGATTTACATGCCACACTTAACTTTGTAGTATACAGTAGTGGGAGATAGAGTCGATGGAATGAAATATAAAATGATAGAGGTGTCAATAACAACCATAAGTTCCGACGTTTTTAAGAAGAAGATAATACCTTAGGACGTAGGTGAAGTTGCAGATACCTGGAGTTCGGAGGATGTTGATCATTGGATGCAGGATAAATGAAAAATGCCTATCAACTCAGGGATGTTGCCTACTGGCCTCGCGTGTGACGGGAGATTGTTGTGGGTTAGTGGCAACTGTAGAAAGTGAAGGGGTAATATTGATGAATTTGCAAGAGCACGGGAAAAAGTAGTACGCATTGAATCACAGATGAAGAATATTTGTTTTGGAAAAATGTCTTACCTCACTGTATGTATTTCGTTCATAACATATCAGGATATCTCAAAGACGAACACGACAACATAGCTAATCTCAATAAAAAGGTAATTTGCATATTATCATCTGCTCTCACAGTGTATGAGGTTCAGTGCAATTAAAGCTCATATATTCCAAACCAATTGTATGGAGCTTATCTTTCTGATCTTGTGGTTTGTTTTAATGTTGTATACCATTTGACTTTCCGATGGCAAGTTATTCTCCCGAGTAACTGAAATTAAGTTGGATTTGCACATGGAAAGCTGAACATAAGGCACTATTCGCGTTAGGAGTATCACCTGGTCGGTGTCAAGTTGGCTGTTATGGCAGTATTCGTCTTGGGAGAGGTTCGGCCATGAAGGTACTTTGTGAGATTGGGGCCAGACTGGTGACTGCTGCAGTTGTTGTCGGCATGTGAGACCCCAGAAGTTTATTAGTATGGAGCCAAGAGATCCTTCAAGGCTCGTTGAACAGTTAAAGTAGAAGTGAATAGGTAAGTGTAAACCCTCCATATCAACCCATCTCTATAGGAGATAATATGGATATTTTATACTCCCTCCGTCCATGTAATATCTTCTCATTACGCGTTACGAGGCTTGACCGACTTTATTTTCAATTCAATTTAATTGATTATAGGAGTAAAATTTTAAAATAAAATTTATATAGTAATAAACTACATGAAAAGTTCTACAAAACTAGAGGTGACAAGACTATATTATTTTATGATATGACTAGTAAAAATGAGCAAACAAAGTGAGTAAAAATTGACCCTGTGAATAGTGTCTGGGAAGATCTATGGTGGACAGAGGAAGTATGTTTGAAGCCCATTAAAACAGGAAAGTATTTGAGCACAGTGTAAAATTTCGAACATAATCTGTTAGAATAATAAAAAGAGTTATGAAGACTATTGGGTTATACCACACCAATATCGTAGATAACTCAAAAGAATAAACACATGGGAATATAAAACATTGAGAAGGCTAATATAATTTACTAACGTTTAGGGCAGGGGCTTCACATGACTGGTCCAGAGAGCAAACCAAAACACCAAAGCAGTGTTCGTATTCCAGTTAAAAATGTTTTTTGGTTGGCATGGTTTTATATCATTGAAATTATTGTTAGTGCATCTAAACTAATTTACACAGATTAGAAACTTAGTGATCCAAATAGAATTTAAAAAAACCAACATTTTTTTTGCCATGATGCAGCTTACAATAAAATAATATTAAAAATGGCAAATTAAGGCAAGAGGTGTAGTGTGTAATATAACTGTCTTCTTTAAGATAACAGGAGAGAGGTGGTGCAAATGTATTAGACAATGTGAAAAAAAGAATCCTACCATAAATACCTCTAACTAACCAGTAAGTTAACGGTTTTATTTCCGCGGTTTTGTTACCTCACGAATTAAAAACCTGGGCAGATGAGTCCTTTTTAGGAGAAGGCTTGAGGTATGTTGTGATATTTCCTAAGACATTGTCATCAAAGTTTTTAATAACCATTATTTCCAAGTCTTCCTAGGTCTACCCCTTCCCCTCTTAAATATTATTTAAAAAGCTGGGAAAAAACTGGTGATGACCTATTATTGTAATGTTAGCGTAAAACCTCATCAGTGCTTGCTCTCAAAATAGTAGTTAGAATATGTCCCTTAAGTGTGTTCTGAAACTCTCTAAACCTGCCAAAATCATAGTTTTAAATCTTCTAAAAAGAAGAACTTCCCAAGTAAATAAAATTAAAAGATGATTCTAATGGTGTTCTTTAAAGATGGTATACATGGGTAGTATTACCTGTAATGGTGTTGATGTATGCAAAGGACCTATACACAGTGATGGTTGCATTATTATTCCTCCGAGTGTGAGGGGTTTGAAGTGAACCTTGGTTTTAAAAACCATAAAATTATAGTTGGCCTTTCTTAGTTATCAAATGGCCAACTCAGTAATAAAAGGCCTATGGTTACAATGAGCAGTAAAGCATATAGAATGGTTCTTGGGATACAATTAGCAGTGGTATAATTCAATGAAAATATAGGAATATGTATCAAAAATGAAATAAACCATACACATGAAAGAAAAAAATCTTGACTGTTTTGTTATTTGAAGTTATAACTTCCACAAGTCTTCATAATCTGTAAATAAAGTATTAATCTTAGATTTATAATGTAGCATGGTCCTATATGGTCTTGCACTATCATATTAATATACTAAGAGGATGCAGTAGTATTTTTAATTGTTTGTCTGAGTTGTAGTATACGAATGTAGTAGGGTAGGTAGTATAAACGTATAGACTTCTTCCATTCTAAAAGTGGCAAAGTATTCAAGTGTTGTGCATACTCCCATTTCTAGAAGGCAATGATATACGCATTTTAGCTTTTGGATTTGTTTTTAGTTGTGTCCTTCTGTTATTGTTTTTTGATGCTGAGACATAGATTTTTTTTGGTATTGAACTGAAATATGTAATGAAGGTTAACCGAAGGCAGTGTTAGATCATGTTCAAAGAAGATGTCGTGCTTAGAAGAAATTAGTTAAGAAATTAAGTGCAGGTACTAAGTATTGATGTGGAGTTAGTCTGCTCGTAATGGGTATTAAACGAATAAGAAGCTTATAAATACATGAAGTAGATCTATATTGGTGCAACACAGTACATAACCGAAAAAGCATGACTGTTTTACTGTGAAATTATAACTTCAGTAGATTCTATGAAAAGGATCACTATCAATAATGCATTATGAGTTCAATTTTAACATTATAGAATATTGACACTGATCCATTGTGTAAATTGTTTTATTAAGTTCTGCATATTTGACTTTTAAGGTCATCAGCAAATCTGTCTGAAAACAACAATCCATTACCACTTTTAACATCTTCCAGTGTTGTTAAAGACTGTAGAATATTAACAACAATCCATTACATGTACATGGTCTCAAGTACTAACGTTAAGATGTCTAAAAAGTGTGTCAATGGTTGAGCATCTGTCAAGGGTTTCATATGTATTCTTCTAAAAGATTATTTAAAGTTGACTCAGGAATGGTGTTAGCGTACATATATTGTGAATTCTAAGGAAAGGAAATCTGTAAATAGAATATGTAAACATAGAATTATTAATATGTTAGTGTATTTTTAAGTATAATATATTTAGGTTCCATCATGTTATGACAGTCTCTAAGTATCCATTTCTTTCCTGCAAGTGTGCATCTGTGCATGATGGTTGATATAATCTTTTTGCTGGTTTAATCATCAATTCTTAATAGTGGGGCCAACGATTTCCTCACGCATTATGGAATTGGCGTAAAGAGGCATTTTTTAAACATAGTGTGTGAGAGTTTCAGTATTTAAACACAACATAGTACTCAAATATGAATAACTGCGTGATGTGAATGAACTTAGTAATAAACACAAGAGTGAAGAGGTGTATAAGCTCAATAGTAATGCCCAAAGATAAATGACTTATTCTCATTATGAAAATATGGAGTCATGGAGAAGTACACAGAATGTAATACTGTCTTTGAAATGAAAAATAGAGAGTGGTAGTGGACAGTTTACAGTGTGTGTTGTCTCTTTATCTTTCTCTATTTTTTTTGTTGTAAAAGTACTCTCTAATATTACGTGGGAACAGTAATACTGGTCACACCGTAAAACTTTATTTGTGGAAACTTTATTCCATAATAGCTCTGTAGTTTCTGCTGCTTTGATGTTCTGCTTTCTGAGGTTTAAGCCGTTCCAATAGCGCCATCGGTGTTCTCACTGTGGCAATGTTCAGTTTTAAATTCTTTGCTTACATAATCTATTACATATCAAATGTGGGCTTATTTAAGAGACAACAAACCTTAAACACATTTTCTTATTTGGAGTGTTCTCTATGGCAGGTGAACTTGGGGTGGCACTGGCAGAAGCTTCATGAGGTGTCTACATTCATCACATACAGTTGAGTTCACATTAAAGATGTCATGCTATAGATTTTGGAATGGCCTATTTCAATTTGAGGAGGCATGTAATGCATAAATCAATGTAATGCATTTATATGTAATAGGTGAATACCTCTTTATTTTTCATTGGACCAATTATAGACTCCTTGTGTACTTTATTTGCTCCGAAACTGTGTGTGTATGCTGTTTTGTTGTATTCAGTGAGTTTCACATGAAACACAAACCTCTGTCCAATCAGATTCGTAATCAATGCAGGCAACTGCCCTTGTGTTTCCTCATCCTGGGAGTTTTACATGCTAAAGTATTAGTTCCATGTGCCATTATTGTAAGTATATGTAATATTCGATGGAAATTGTAATCAAAATGCTGTATTTTTATTCTCAATACCTCAAGTTTTTCTTCCATATCATACAGGCTAATAGCAGATTGCCCTATAAGCTTTTCAGCTTCATCATCAAATATAATGAACTTAGTAACCTCAGTCTCATCCTTAACTATGGCTTCAAGTCGATACCTATGTTTTAAAATGAAAGACTTCCATGTGAGGGAAATATTAAAAACAGATGATATGTGAATGAGTGTCAAATCTGTATATCAGTAATACAGATTCTCTTATGTTGGCATAAATTATTTGGTAAACATAGTGTTGCTTCAATATAATACCTTGGGACCGCATCATCAACTAACTTGGAATCTTTTTTGCACCAAAACTTTGAGCCACTTGGCTTGACTATCCCCTTGCAGTGTCCGCATGAGTTATAATACCAACTATTGTTGTTGCTTATATTATGTATCAATGCATGACAGTTATACATTATGCCCTAGAGTGTTTCATTACATACATAGAAATTAAAACCACGTCATTAATGGTGTTTAAAATATCAATTTCTAAACATTTTTGGTAATAATCAATCGTGATGCTCTTACATTTTTTAAGTCGGTTGATGCAATAGCCAAAATCTCTGCAATGGTCTTCAACCCAGCAAGGACTGTGTCCCGATCTACAACAGCCCTTTCAACCAAGAGTGGTTTGAGCGTCTTCTCCTCACTATGTTTTGAAAAGTAAGATCATATCCGTGATATATATCTTTTAAAAATTGTACTACAGAAGAATCAAAATATTACTTTACATTTGTTTGTTTTTACAAAATCATATATATTAGTAAGAAGCAAAGGGTGCAAACATCCTTTAAAATACCTATACTTATTTTTTAGTGCAGCAACTTCGTCAATAGCAACATCTAAGAACACCTTTGTAGCAGTGGTTGTGGACAATGTAGTGCGTTCTGCAAGGACAATGAGCACAGGACAAATATTCTTATAATCAAATCCACACGCACATACTTGGTCGTATAGGAACTTACTCATATATTCTTTCACCAAGTTTGATGTGAACACCCCAACAATTACAGAAGCCGGAAGTGCAGTTTTCTGGGTAATATAATCGGCTACACTCTTGCCCCAAAGTGTTATTCTCAACTTTGCACCACTAAACATGTTAAGAAAACAAAAACATCTCGTTATCTCTGGTGGCCTGACTAACTCTTGGTTACGTTGTAATAATTATTGCACCCATTTGTGTTTTGAAAGAAATCCTCAAATCTTGCAATTCTAACATGAGGCTTTTCACGGTACTGTTATAAACATTTTTGTCTGTAACCTCACCCTCGCCACAGACGTGTCCCACTACATCTGAAAAATGGAAACACATGTTATCCTAAAGTATAATCTGGGAAATTGATTCATATCAAAGTGTGTAAACAGTGGGATTAATGGGTTAAAAGTGACAAAACCTGTTAGGATGTAGTCCTTTGTTGGTGTAAACCATCGAAATGTTTGTGCAAACCTGTGGTGTACAAATGGGGTATATTTTTTGGTGTAAGTGTAGCATGGTCCCTATAAGAAATACATTATTACACATGGATTACACATCAGACTTTTAAAATTACACATGGATTACACACCACGTAGGCTGCCACATGTCGCTACGACAGCTAAACTGCTCTGCTTTATATATATATATATATATATGTATATATATATATATATATATATATGTATATATATATATATATGTGTATATATATATATATATGTATATATATATATATATATGTATATATATATATATTATTTAAATATTTTTTTTATTATAATAAAGAAAGAAGTACAGGAAAGCTGAGGGGGTGGCCCAGCCCCAACAAAGGACCAAACAAAAATAAAAGCAAATAACAGGACAGAGGATCCCAAAGCCAAAACAGAAGAGGCCAAACACTAAAATGCAATAGTAATCCAACGAGAAAGGTTTCAAAGTTGACAAGCATCATTTCATGAAATGAATGTGCTACCCTTTTCTTGCAAGCCATGTTCAAGGTAAGCTCAAATTACAGCCTAGCCTCCAACTTCAAAGCCTAATTCTCGCCCAAAGTAGGCCCCTCTGTTATCCTTGACAGATCTGCATATTTCCTTGAGTCAAATAGACGTCCCCATTGACCCATTCATTCAGTCAAATTGTTTATGGTGTGTTGTTTTCCTGAGATGTTACAGACTGTCTGTAATACTTCCAAGTACAGCAATATCCTCCATGAATCTGATCATGAAAATCAGTCTCCAGTAGCTATTAGAGAGTTGCAGCCCCAAAAACCTTAAAGAAATTCCCTAAAACAAGGAAACCCTTAACATGTAAAGACCTTGATGCCGTTTCAAATCCTTTCCACAGTTAACAAGAGGAAACCATAGAATATAGAAGAATATATTGTCTCAAGTAGTCCATCATCAACAAGCAACAAACCATAGATAAAGAATCCCTAGTAGTCCTCACAGTCATTCATAATCGATGAGGTGTTCACACAAGGACGTAATGATAGGTTCATCAATGTTGGCACAAGATAGGATTGCCCTAATGCATTGTGCGCTCTTCATAGCGTCCCTTGTAGCTTTTATTGCCTTACCCTGGAGTGTTTTCACTAGACCCTTCTGAATCTTTTCTATGACGAAAGGCGAGCGCAACGCTTCCTTAATTATCCAAAGAGATTGCTCAAAGTCATCACTAATATGTTGCTCAAAAATCGGCTTAAGAATCTCAAACTCTTTTTGGAGATCTCCTCTTGCTGATTCCTCCACATTTGCATCGATCATCATTAGCTTAAGCTCAGATTGAATAGGAATATCCAAACTTGAAACTTGCATTTCCGGAGCGTGCTTAAATAGACCGTCGATAATAAGTTGCTCTTCACGGTTTAGGAGACATGGCTTAATAGACTCATCTTTTGGTTCCAACTCACCAGGCGTGCCAGGCTGAAGTTGGTTTCTTGCACCCGAGACTCCAGGTTGCAGAGCTTCTGTCCCATCATCAACCTTTCCAATCTCCAGTGTGGGTTGCGAATCCGTTGATATTTCATTTCCTCCTCCCAATATAACAGCAGGAGCTTTATCTATGGGCGAGAACTCTGGAAGTGGAACCTTAGGAGGATGAGTTCCATCGGAGGTTTTGTTCGCCACAAATCCATCTGTTGGAGGCCCTCCAAGAGTCATACCACCAGAGCTACCATGTCTGTTAGAGGAGCTAGGTGCATGAGCCTCATGTACCATTGTAAACAACTGAGTAGCAGGGAGAGTTTTTTGAATATATGGGTTCTTTGTCTTACCAATGAAGACATCAACAGCATTAAAGAAGCATTTCGAACCTCCTCTATCAACTGGAACAAAAATAGAGGTGTTCCCTTCAAGCCTAGACTCAAGAACTCTGATAAAATTCCCCCACCTATTAGACCCATATGAAATTGAAAGTTTTCGATGCGTTTCAAATCGCGTGATAGCCCAAGGGTTTCTTTGGTTTAATTTGGGGAATAGCCCAAGAATCCATTTTAACCCTTGTAAATCAAACCAAATGTCATAATTCCTCCTCCCAATTTCCGTAATACAGAAATTCTGATTATAGCATGAGTGAAATAGATTAAAAACCTTGGATCATATGCGGAAGGAATGAAACCGATTCTGACTTTCACTCGCTTGGCTTGAGATTTTGGGAGTGTCGTTCCATCTCTGGATTCTCTTCCCTTGCCAGCGTCCTGAGGACCAAGATCTATCCCGAATTCTTCCCCACTCCTGGTAATCGGTGAACCCATCTCTATGAACAAAATCCTTGGGACGATTCCATCGAGGGATAGAGAATCGCTTGAAGACGACGCCCTTCTCTCTAAACCCTTTCATATATATATATATATATATGTGTATGTATGTATGTATATCTATATATATATATTATCTATATATATATATATATATATATATATGTATATCTATATATATATTATATATATATATATATATATATATATATATATATATATATATGTATATCTATATATATTATATATATATATATATATATATATATATATAAAGGAGAATTTTATTTCATACGAATAAAAGAAGTTGTTACATCACATGCAATGGCTCCCCTAGAGCGTTTTGGGAGTGAAACTAGTGAATGAAAATTACTGAAGTTATTCTCTTGCAAAGCGTGTTGTGCCAGATGATGTGCCGCCGTATTAGCTTCTCTAAAGATATGATTGACCCGTCCCTCGGACCGATTTATCATTTCTCTTGTCATCCTTGTGAAGAAATCATTGTTGGAGAAGTTTGTTAAATTGTTTGCGTAACTTTTGGAGTCAATATAGAGATTGACCAGGCAGTTAAGAAACAGACTTCTGCGTACTCCTTCGTATGCTGCCTCCATTTCTGTCTCAGCTGGTGGGAGATTTTGATGAAGAGGATAAGTCCAAGCAATGAGGAATTGGCCATGCCTTGTGCGCAGGATGCTGGCTCCAGCTGATCTTCCCTCTCTGATTGCCGCGTCCGTTGTAAGTATAACACCAGTGGCTGGGAATACCCATCGATGTAGAGTGATTGCGCCCATCCTTTTTGAAGGTAACCTTTCATAAATTCTGATATCCGGTGTTGTTTTTCCCTTATGGTGGATGAAAATCCATTCGTAGATCTGTTTTGTGATGATTGTAATTGTCTGTGTCAAGGTGTGTTCTTCTTCCTCGTAAATCCTCCTTTTCTTTCTTTCCATATCTCATAGGTTATGATTCCTGGAATGATTTTGAGGAGTGCTTTGTTGAGTTTTTTCAGTTCCCCTTGTTTCCACCAGTTTGTCAAGTAGGTTAGGATTCCATGGCTGGTATTCCTGCAAATTGAAAATATTTGTTCAAAGTAGTTCCAGATTTGGTTGCTGAATGGGCAGTTCTTGAATAGGTGGGTGGTAGTCTCCTCACTGTTCCTGCACAAGAAACAAATAGAGGGGAGTTGAATTCCCAATCTAGTTAGTGAGTGGGGAAGGGGGAGGTAGCCAAAACACAGTTTCCAAAGGAAGATAGAGTGTTTAGGGTTTTGTTTGGGAATCTAGGAAAGTTTGGTGAAGGGGTGAATGGGATTTTTCTCTCTCAAAGAATTCTTTGCCTTCTTTAAGCTGAAACCAACCTCTCCATTATGCCATAGAATTCTGCCCTGGTTGTCAATGCTCAAGTGGTTATCTGCCATACTATTGATGGTGGTCCCAAAGTGGTGAGATACAAAGTCTAGAGGGGGGGTGAATAGACTTTGTTACAATTTTACAACTTTTTCGTTTCTTTTGAAAACGTGAAAATAGTGTAAATCTAGAGTTCTTGGGAACTTTTGATTGTGTGCGGAATTTGGTGGGTAGTATGAGCAGTAATCAATATGGATGGGTTAGTTTTCACAGTTAATATAATTGCAAGTAAGAGTAAAGATAAAGGAGAGAGACACGCAAACTTTAACGAGGTTCGAAGGTGGGGTAATCCTTCTACGTCCTCAAAATCCACTATGTAGTTGGTTGTTGAATAATGAACCAACAATTACACTAGTGTAAATTTCTGCACGGTATATCTTCGCAAGTCCAATGTTGCTACTGCACTCGTGCTGGCTTTGTTGTTCCTTCGAAGGTCACGCTTCTTCAACAACTGCAAGATCCGAACAATAGGACTTGCAAGATCAACTTGTAAGAAAGTTGACCTACCCCCTTTTAATCAAGAAGTTTGATCAAAAGTTATATCCTTCAACGTGGTGTGGTACTTGAGGCAATGAAACCTTCAAGTGTTTACACTATAGCTCTTTGGAAGGAGGAGAAGTTTGCTTCTGGATAAGGAGTTTAGAAATCTCTCTTTATCAAGCTTTTGGGCTAACTGTGAATGAGATAGCTTTGTTGTTAGATATTGCTTCGTTGTGTTCGTCTATCTCGTTGGTTGTGTATTTTCTCCAGTCTTCCAAGGATGCTATTTATAGCTGGATTGGATAATCTATCCGTTGAATCAAAATAGACTATCCGTTGCATTTGTTGGCTTCAATTTTGAATGAAGATTGTGATTTGAAGGTTCCTCGTTGGAATGGGTGTTTGGACATACCCAATCGTTTGAGGAGGGATTCCTTTTTCCACAGAATCTGTCTTCTAGCTGTTGTTCAAGAATTCTGGACTGTAGCACTTTACTCAGTTTGTCTTCTAGTGCTTGTTTAGGAATTCTGGACAGGCTCTTCAATTTGAGAGGTCCAGTATTTGTCTCCAAGTCATTTGTTCTTGAATCAGCATAATTATCTTCAATCTAGCCATTGAAAATCAAGAGATTGCTTTTTCCTTACCAACGGGTAGAATTTCTTTATTCAAGACTTAGATAATTTTCTAAGTCTTTTCTCACTTGTCCGCTTCTGAGAATTTCGGTCTTTCTTGAGGCATCCGGTTCTTTGCTGACAAATCCGGAAGAGTCATTCACAGACTTTCGGGTGAGAAAGAGATCCGCGCTAGTCTTTTGTTTTTGGATGACTTAGCCTTCAGCGGGTTGTAGCGAGACATCCGGTTATCATGTAGTCTTCCGGATCAGAGGATTTTCATCTGCTTTGAGAAATCCTTACTTGTCTCTGACATTTTCGATCAAGGTATCCAATTTCCAAATCACTGAATTTGATTGAGTCTTCAAGCATCAAACCACTTAAAGAAATATCACAACTTTATTGGAAATCTCAAGAACTCGGTTTTGACAGTATTTCTAAAAAGAAAAATTACATTGAATATTGGGGGAGACCTAAAGTCCCTATTACAATCTAAATACATCATCATCAAAATCTATAATATTTTCCCAACAATTTCCCCCTTTTTGATGATGACAAACAAGTGTTTAAGAGTTCCGGTCGCTGTACTGAGAACTAATTTTATAACTTTCTTTTAGTTTCTCATAATATACAGCTTGTTAACAAAAAATGACAAACAAATACAATTCAAATTACAATAATTCCTAAACCAAGTCTTGTCTTGAGATTTGTGATATTTTCTGCCATTTGCCGCTTTCACTTCCAGCAGATTTTGCTTCGTAGTACAGATGGCGGTGCGTTTGATAGATCTTTAATATCCAAAGTGGATATTTGAGATCTAGGAACCAACATCTCTCTAAAAATCAAAAACAAGAACAAAATAAAAAAAAGTGGAGGGAAAGGAGGCGGCGGTGAAAGGAAAGAAAAAGGCAGAAGGACAAGAAAAAGGTTTTGGAAAATAGAATTGATTGTGAAGAAGATAAAATAAGGGTTTTTAAAAGATGAAGGCAAAAATAAAATTTTGAAAAAGAATTTAAAGGATAAATATGGTAAAAAATTTTGAAAAATGCTTGGGAGAAGGGAGCAGAGACTGCACAAAAATTAAAATTTGAAGAACAAAAAAGAGAAAAAGAGAGAGAATAAAAAAAAATTTAGATGAGACGAAAATGGAGAGAGTGTTGTTCAAGAGAAGGTGTATGGTGTAATCCTGAAAATACGAGATTTTCACCACAGACCTTCTCTACTGCCGAGATTCTCATCATAGACCTTGAATGTCTTTTCTTCTCATAAGGCTTTCTCCATTGCCGTCTATGAGGGTGAGAAAGAAAAATTTCTCCATTGAGGATATTTTTCTTGGTGTTTTTCTCAGACAGTGAGTTTCAAGACTTTTCATATTGAAAGAGTTGTTTGTGATATGAATGGATTGGGATGTCTTGATTTAAATAAGAGAGGAGGTAGAGAGAGGGGAGGTTCACGGGTTCCACTAATTGGGTAGATGGAACGGTGAGAGTAAAAGAGTTTCAACTTCCAAGAAGTTGAAAAGTGAAAGGAATCTTTTACCAGTTACCAAGGTGTTGAAACTGTTCCAATTAAAAATCAGTTTCGTTTGGTTTGAAAAATGTAACTGTTTTAGTTTGGCTAAGCCCAAAAGAGTGGCCCAAAAAAAAAAATCTATGCACTAAAGGGAAATTATTCCTATTGGGTTCTCAAGGCCCAAAATAAAACTATCATTTTTCATTCCCTATAGTTCTAATTTCTAAATAGGACGAGGTAGTACCAAAAATTTGTAACTTATTTAAAAGAAAAGTGGTACTATTTTTCCAAAGTCCTGTACAAAAAAAATCCTAAGGACCAGTACTTTTAGAGCTAGTTGGAAATGAACTAAGGATTAAAGCTCAGTTTAGGAAGGTAGATTATGTAAAGTACCTGAATCGGAGATCTCCAACTATAGTACTTATACTGAGGTATCCGGCTTCCATTGCTTAGATTTTATCAATAGTTCATTGCCAAAAACAATTGAAGCAATTGTTAGCCAAAAAAACAGTTAAGTTCCCCCTAAATTATATTCCCCCTGAATGTATGCACTCAAGAATAAATCTCAAAATCATACTTGAAATAAGCATAATCAAGCATAATAAGCACAATTAAGAGAAATATTGAAGCAAGCATAATAAGCACAATTAAGAGAAATATTGAAGCCCTTTAAACCAATCAAGCAATGTTTAAACAAGAAGGTGTTTTCATCAAAGGATCAGTTCAGATGCTAGACAGATGCTGTGCCGAGTTCTCCGGATTGTTTCTCTGAGCTTCAAGGATCAGTTCAGTCATGTTCGGATGCGAAGGAATATAAGAAACTTCTCCTTCCTTGACTGCAATAGGAAGCTTTGGAATCAAGGATGGACTGTGTTGTTGAAGAATCACTTCCATCTTGCGGTTGTCAGAGCTTGTGCTAAAGTGACTGAACAGTCTGTGTGCTTCCTTCTGATTGTCAATAATAACCTTCAAGTAGTCTTTGGTTACTACCTGATTTGCTGAAGACACTGTTAGGGCTGCTTTGATGTCCATTTGGAGAAGGGACATCTGCTTCTGTAGACTAACTGTGACATTTGCTATTTGCTCTCTGATTTTATTGACTTCTTTGAGTTGAAGATAATTGTCAGATGCATATGTTTCCATTGTGTCTCTTACAGAGTTACTCAATAGAGAGATGATCTCTAGAGTCTTGTGCACTGACTTGCTTATCTCCTTGAGATCTGAGCTGTGTTTCTCTTCAGATTTCTCAATCAGCTTGTTGTACCTGGCTTCCATCTGCTCTATCTCTTGCCTAAAGGAGGCATGTTGAGATGCTAGGGCTGATTCAATCAACCCTTGGACCTTATTTGTCCAGATTTCCGGTACCTCATCCGGAAGTGTAGGAATGTAAGAGCTATGGAAATGGAAGTTGGTTACTTGATGAGAAAATGGTGTTCTTTGGAAAAGTTGCATAGGAAGAGATTCAGCATCCTCTTGCTCAGCTTCTTTATCAGCAATCTTCAGCGTCCTTTCAGATTCTTCCTCTGCTTCATCAAGTATAAAATTTGATATATCCCTAGAGAGGGAGTCTCTTTCTTCACCTTCATTCTGCTCTTCAAAAACGGCTACTGGAGTTTCAGGGGCCTCCAGTTCTGCCATTTGAACTTCCTTTTCAGCTTCTGTAGAATTCCTTTGGATTTCTACAGCTTGCTCCTCTTGGACTTCATTTGTTTCTGGTGGAGTTGACTGCTCCAGAATTTCTCCTGACTTCTCTGGGATCTCAAGTTCAGGCTGGTTGGAGATCTCACAAGGAGTTGTGAGAATCTCAAGAACTTGAGATTGGAGATGTTGCTGAAGTTCTTCTTCTGATGCTTCCTGGTTCTGTTCTTGTGGAGTAGGGGCTGCATTCTCTTGGATAGCTTCAGACAGAACCGTTTCAAAGGCAGGTGAGGTTTCTGGAAAGATTTAGAAATCCTCAGCTGTTGCCTCCAAATCAGCCTGTGCGTCAGACGTGTGAATTATTTGATCTTCTGTGGCTTTTGAGAAGACTGGTTTGTAGACTGAAGGATCTTCCTCATCCACTTCAAATTCTGAAACTGGTGAGGTGGCCAAGTATTCCAGATGCAAGTCTTCATAGTTCCTTTGCCATACCCAGTCATCATCCAAGATTTGTTCACAGCTGTGGTTGACTAGCAGCCCCAAGCACTTCTTAATGATCTTTTCATTCTTCAATTGTTGGTCCCATCCCAACAAATACTCTGCTGAATTTCCAACCTTCCAAGCTCTCCAGTCATAGTAGAGCTGCCAGAATTGGTTATCAGCATCATCTGTTTGAGATTGAGGTGAGGGGGTTGGAAGACTATGGACTTGATGAACTTCTTCTTCCTGTTGTTGAGGGCTCTGGTTGTGGGCAGGGTTATCCTCAACCAGTTCCTTCTCCTTCAACTCATCCGGATTGACATTTCCAGAAGTTGAGGGAGAGGTGATTTTCTTCTTATTCTTCCTTTGAAGTTCTCCTTGTGCAGTAACTTCTTCTTCTTCTTCCAGATTGACCAGAGCAAGGTTCTGTGGTGCTTCAACACTCTGAGAGGGAGACACCACATGTTTCCTCTTGGCTGTTTTCTTCAGATTTATGATTGGCACATTGTCTGAAGAAGCTTCATCCTCTGTAGTTGTGCTAGCACCAACTCTGTTTTCCCCTTTTGAAGACAGGTAGTATAGCCAATATCTGGGTTCATACTTCTTTCCTTCAAAAGCAGCACCCATAGACTCCAAAATATGTCCAATGTACAGACCTTGACAAAGGTATTTCTGGTTGGGTTTTCCCAGATGCTTTGAGATGGAATTGAAGAAATGTGCAGCCCAATTTACCTTAGACTTGGTAATGAGGGCATTGATGATGAAGGCCCTCTCTTGGGTGATGTCATCAGCATGTCCTCCACTTCCACACTTGAGGCAGGCAATGACCAGTTCAAGAACAAGTTTGTAGTCGTTGTTCAGGTCTGCTTTCTTCGCTGGTCCAGAAGGAACTTGCCTAGAAATTCCAATAATATTCCAATCCAGATTATTGGCTGGAAGTCTCCCAATTTCAACTCCAGAATTGGGAAGGTGAAGCTTTTCTTCCAAAACAGTGGACTTGATGATTTGAATCGTCCTCTGTGGGTCCTTCTTTGATTTAACAGTCTTGACCTTTCCATTCTTGTAGAATTCAAGAACCTCATTCTCATACTTGAATCGAATCTCCATATGAAGGAATTTGGAGAGCTCTTGAGCAGCAATCATCTCCAGATAGGATTGATAGAACGTTGGTGAAGAGCACTTGGCTTCCAACTTCTGGAAATGAACATTAGCGCCAAGAATCTTCATTTTCTCAGAAATTTGAGTGAGAAGATCTGAAGAAATTAGGGTTCTTGAGAATTTTGTCAGAAGGTTCTCGGGAAGAAGGCGATGAAAAATTTGAGTGGGCTGAGTGGGCAGTTGGGATCTGATTATAGTGGCGATTGGGTTTGATTTGGGCGATTTATGCGGCTAGTGGCGATTGGGTTTTTAACTGTTCCCAAGACCACGTGCCTACCCATTATTTTGACAGACGTGAAAAGTGGACTGCCACGTGTACCGCACTCAGTATAATTGAATTAGACCAATTTTGTGAAGTAAGCCGGAAAACTTGGCTTCACTTAGTGGTTTTGTGAAGATATCCTCCATTTGTTCTTCAGTTGAGATATACTCAATTTTGATGTCTTTCCTTTCCACATGATCTCTGATGAAGTGATGCTTGACATCAATGTGCTTAGTGCGAGAATGATGCACTCGATTTTGTGAGATAGCTATAGCACTTTGATTGTCACAGAAAATTGTCACTTCTCTTGTCTTGACTCCATAGTCCAGTAGTTGTTGCTTTAGCCACAAGATCTGAGCACAACAACTACCAGCAGCAATGTACTCTGCTTCTGCTGTTGAAGTAGAAATGGAGTTTTGTTTCTTACTGAACCAAGAAACAAGATTTCCACCAATGAATTGACAAGTACCAGATGTACTTTTCCGGTCAACTTTGCATCCGGCAAAGTCAGAATCTGAGTATCCCACTAACTCAAATGAATGGCTCTTAGCATACCACAAACCCATGTTTTGAGTTCCTTTGAGGTATCTAAGAATCCTTTTAGCTGCTATTAGATGACTTTTCTTTGGCTTTGACTGGAATCTGGCACAAACACCTACTGCATATGAGATATCCGGACGGCTTGCAGTAAGGTAGAGTAGAGATCCAACAATTCCTCTGTAGAGAGTTTGATCAACATCCTTTCCATCTACATCCATATCAAGCTTGGTGGATGTACTCATGGGGACAGAAACGGATGACTTCTGATCAACTTTAAATTTCTTGATAAGATCCCTTGTGTACTTGCCTTGGTTGATGAGAGTTCCTTCACTTCTCTGTTTGATTTGAAGACCAAGGAAGTAGTTGAGTTCCCCCATCATGCTCATCTCAAATTTTCCTTGCATGAGGGTGGAGAATTTGGTGCAAAGAGCTTCCTTAGTAGAGCCAAATATGATGTCGTCCACATAGATTTGGACCAATAAGAGATCTTCTCCATCTTGTAGTTTGAATAGTGTCTTGTCAATGACTCCTTTGATGAATCCATTATCTATGAGAAATTGAGATAATGTATCATACCAAGCTCTTGGAGCTTGTTTGAGTCCATATAGCGCCTTTTTGAGTCTGTACACTTGATCACCTTTAGTGTGTAGCTCAAATCCTGGAGGTTGTTCCACATAAACTTCTTCCTCTAGGTTTCCGTTGAGGAATGCGCTTTTGACATCCATTTGATAGACTTTGAAGTCTTTGTGAGCAGCAAAGGCTAGAAACAGCCTTATAGCTTCAAGTCTAGCAACTGGAGCGAAGGTTTCATCAAAATCTATACCTTCTTCTTGACAGTATCCTTTGGCAACCAACCTGGCTTTGTTTCTAACAACAACGCCGTTTTCATCCATCTTGATCCAGAAGACCCACTTTGTCCCAATGACATGTTGATGAGTAGGTCTGGGAACAAGTTTCCAGACGTCATTTCTGGAAAATTTGTTGAGTTCTTCTTGCATTGCATTGATCCAATCAGAATCAGCTAGAGCTTCTTCAATATTCTTTGGTTCCACTTGTGAGATGAAACAAGCAAGCATAGCTTCTAGATTCTGTTGGGCACTCCTTGTGCGAACACCAGATTGAATATCTCCAATGACTTGTTGAGGAGGATGATCCCTTAACCAACGAAGATTGTGTTGATTAGGGATGACAGGTTGATCTAGTTCAGTTTCTGGTTGAAGAACAGAGTTAGTTGGTGATTCCGGATGGATTGGCACTGGGTCACCATTTCCAGAATTGTCGTCATTTGACTGATCCGGAATATTGGATGGCTGGCCATGATTTCCGGTAGGCTCAGCACTGTCTGAATCCGGATTTCTCTGAGAAGTCTTCAGTGGTAGACTTCCGAATGGAATGAACTCCGTAGGCTTCATTCTATCTCCTTCATTGATTTCTTCATCCTTGTCTGAGAGATCCAGAACCTCATGATCATGCTTTGATGGCTTGTCAACCACATGTTTTTCATCAAAAATAACATGTATTGACTCTTCAGTGATCATGGTTCTTTTGTTGAAGACTCTGAACGCCTTGCTCACCATGGAATATCCAAGGAAGATGGTCTCATCTGATTTCTCATCAAAAGTGTTCAGATGATTCTTCCCGTTGTTTAACACAAAGCACTTGCTCCCAAAAATATGGAAATATGATATATTAGGCTTTCTCCCATTCCATAGTTCATAGGGAGTTTTGTTGTGCCTTTTATAAATCACTCCTATTTTGAGTATAGCAAGTTGTGTTAACAGCTTCAGCCCAGAATCTCTTTGGCAAAGAAGCTTCGGCTAGCATGGTCCTCACTACTTCCTTCAAGGTTTTGTTTCTTCTTTCAGCTACACCATTCTGTTGAGGCGTCCTTGCTGCAGATGTCTGATGAAGAATTCCGTTTTCTTCAAAGTAGTGAATGATGATTTCATTCAGGAATTCTGTGCCTTTGTCAGATCTGATCTTCTGGATGGTCTGACTTGCTTGGTTTTGAATCAGCCTAATGTAGTTTGTGAGCTTTCCTTGAGTTTCCTTCTTGCTGTTGAGAAAGATTGTCCACGTGTATCTTGAGTAATCATCAACTACCACTAGGACATATTTCTTTCCACTTAGACTTATTGGAGTAATAGGGCCAAATAAGTCCATATGAACAAGACTTAATATCCTTGTAGTTGAGGGTGCCGGTTTTGCCTTGAAAGTGGACTTGACTTGCTTTTCTTTCTGGAAAGCATCACAAATGCTTTCCTTCCTGGATACAGCTTTGGGAAGACCTTCTACTAACCCTTCTTTGGATAGCTTGTTGAGAGTTTTGAAGTTGAGATGACCCATCCTCTTATGCCAAAGCCATAGAAGGTTAGTGTCACCTTTGCTGATTAGACATGCTTCCTTGACATTATCCCACATCACTTCATAGATGTTTCTGATTCTCTTCCCAGTGAGAATGACTTCATTTGTGGAGATGTTCTTGAGAGATGCCATGTCCTTGCAGAATTCCAAGGAGTAACCTTTATCACAAAACTGACTTATGCTAAGAAGGTTATAGTTGAGACCTTCAACATAAGATACAGCTTGGATGGTTAGTCCCTTGTACACCAGATTTCCTAGCCCTTT